ATTATTTTGCATCCAGTCACTGATCTGTTGGATACAGTGAAGGAGCAAATCCAGTGGTCCATGTTCTCCTGCAGTCAGTGAGACATAGATCTGAGTGTCGTCAGCGTAATTGTGGTAGGACACTTTGTTTCTTTGTATTAACTGACCTAACGGCAGCATGTAGAGATTAAATAGGAGAGGTCCCAGGATCGACCCCTGTGGTACTCCACAGGTCAGGGCCACATGATCTGAGACGCAGTCTCCAATCTCCACAAAGTACTTCCTATCCTCCAGGTAAGACCTAAACCAGTCTAGGGCTGTGCCAGTGACACCAACCCAGTCCTCCAGTCTCTGCATGAGGATCTCATGGTCGACAGTGTCGAACGCGGCACTAAGATCTAACATGACCAAAACTGTGACTTTACCTGCATCAGTGTGAAGTCGAATGTCGTTTGTTACCTTCACTAGAGCGGTCTCAGTGCTGTGGTGGGGTCTAAACCCAGACTGGAACATATCAAAAGAATTATTCATTGTTAAAAATTCAGTAAGTTGTTGGGAGGCCACTTTTTCAAGAATTTTTCCAATGAATGGCAGATTCGATATGGGGCGATAATTTTGAAGTCCCGCAGGATCCAGACTGCTCTTTTTTAGGAGAGGTCTTATGACTGCTGTTTTTAGGGCCATAGGAAATGTTCCTGACGACAGAGACATGTTTACTATTTGTGTCAGTGAAGGTAACAAACTGCTCAGGACGGACTTCAGAAATTTAGAGGGCAATATATCCAGGCTACATGTGGAGGAGCTCAGACTCATGATTATCTTTTTGACAGTTTCAGTATCCACAGGTGCAAAGTGAGTTAGCTCAAAAAGCTTCTCTGGCTGTTGCATTGTTATACGTGCTGTGGAGGTGATAGTGTTTTTGATTCCTTGTACTTTGTCATCGAAAAACTGTGCGAACTCATTACACCTAGATTTAGAGGAAAATTCTAGGGGCAACTTTACAGGGGGGTTCGTTAATCTACCAACTGTTGAAAACATAACACGAAAATTGTTACTGCAACCTCCAATAATGTCAGAAAAATACATTTCTCTTGTTCTACGTAGAACCCGGTTAAATTCACCCAACTCATCTTTAAAGACTTCATAATCGCCCTGGAAATTGGACTTTCGCCACTTCCGTTCGGCCCTCCGGCACTCTTGCTTCTGTGCCCTAACCGAGTCTGCCTTAGTCCATGGGGCCTTTTTCTTACTGGTAACTATTTTAACCGTCACAGGAGCAATGGCGTCCAGAACAGTCAGAACACTGGTGGTGACAGAGTTATACAATTCATCAACAGTAGAGCATGGAGTTTTCTCAAAATTTAGCATTCCCATGAACAGTTCACTTGTGTTTTCATGTATGTGTCTTCTTCTAACATTTGTAAATTCAGCTGGTGGTTTGCTAGCAAAACACATGTCAAAAAATACACAGAAATGATCTGACAAAGCAACATCAACTACATTAACATTTGATACATTAACCCCTTTGTAATTAGCAGGTCAAGAGTGTGCCCCCTGCTGTGGGTGGGGCCACTCACGTGCTGAATGAAACCAAAGGTCTCAAATACAGAAGCCAGCTCCTTTGCATTTCTGTCATCAACATTATCAACATGTACATTAAAATCACCTGTAATAACTAAACTATCAAAATCTGTGCACACGAATGAAAGTAGTTCAGTAAAATGGTCAATAAAATCGCAACATGACTGTGGTGGCCTGTACAGGACAATGAAAAGAGTAGAAGATTGCTTTTGTTCCATTTTAAAAGAAATATACTCAAACGATGAAAAATTTCCAAGGGGCATTCTATGGGAGACAAAGTGCTCTCTAAAAACTGCAGCTATGCCTCCCCCCCTTTTGTTTTCTCGTATTTCGGATTCGAATTTAAAATTGGGTGGTGTTGCTTCTATTAGAACTGCATTTCCTGTATTTTGGTCGAGCCATGTTTCAGCCATAAGCATAAAATCAAGATCATAAGAAGTGATAAAATTATTAATTAAAAATGATTTGTTACATAGAGATCTGACATTAAGCATAGCAAGTTTAAAAATAACGTCAGAGTCGATTAATGTGGTTGATTGATTTCTACAGGGAACAGAAATTAGATTTGCAGAGTTGGACCGTCTAACTGCTGTCCTGTTTTGATTTCGTTTTTTAGAATTTAAAAACATTTTTGAGCTGGTGCGAGGAACACACACAGTCTCAATAGGCCTAAAATGTGAAAACCCTTGTTGTTGTTCTTTAGCTCCCAGAGTCAGAAGGGAGTCAGCACAGTTCAGTGTTTGGACTGGTAATGCACTGCCAGACGGACAGGGAGCAGTGTTTGCACCGTTGTACTCACCCGGTGCTGGTGAGCAGGAGGCGGGGGAGTGCGGTGGGGTCCGAGGGGGCTCAGATGTAAACAGTCACGCCCCCCTCGGGGAACGCTGAACAACGTAACGTATGTAATCCATCAACAGGCTGCTACCGTATCTGTTTGGGTGTAATCCGTCTGGACGATAGGCTTCGTAACGTTTCCAGAAAAGGGCAAAGTTATTCACAAAGACAAAGTTAAAAGAGCTGCATGTAGCCTGAAGCCACACATGCAGCGCCACAACACGACTGTAGAGGCAGTCACCTCTGTTTACAGTCTGGATTGGACCAGAAATAAAAACAGATAGTCCGGAGGATTGAAGGAGGTGGAACAGATCCATAAAATGTTTCTTCGTGACTTCTGACTGCTGAAGTTTCATGTCGTTAATTCCCACATGCACGACTACCTTGGAAACGGTATCAGGCAGGGACTGAAGCAGAGGAGGGAGACGTATGAGCAGGTCTGGTACAGTAGCTCCGGGAATACAGCGAGTGACCGCGTTAAAGAAGCGGACGTGCCTCACGATGGAGTCTCCAATAATCAGAGTGGTCGGGGCGAAGAGTGGCCTCTGAGAAGGAGCTCGGTGGACGGAACCAGCGGGTTCACCCGAAGCAGGACATACACCCGAAGCAGGACATACACACACATAACATATATGTATATGTTATGTGTGTGTATGTATATATATATATGTGTACATATATATATACACATATATACATACACATATATATACACACACATATATATATATATATATATATATATATATGTAATATATATACATATATATGTATATATATATGTATATGTTATGTGTGTGTATGTATATATATATATGTGTATATATATATATGTGTATGTATATATATGTGTATGTATATATATGTGTGTGTATATATATATGTGTATATATATATATATATATATATATATGAATATATATACATATATATGTATATATATATGTATATGTTATGTGTGTGTATGTATATATATATATGTGTATATATATATATATATATATATATGAATATATATACATATATATGTATATATATATGTATATGTTATGTGTGTGTATGTATATATATATATGTGTATATATATATATGTGTATATATATATATATATGAATATATATACATGAATATATGAATATATATACATGAATATATATATATATATATATACATATATATATATATATATATATATATATATATATATATATATATATATATATATATATATACATATATATGTATATATATATGTATATGTTATGTGTGTGTATGTATATATATATATTTTTTTATATATAAAAAAATTGTATATATGTATATATATACATATATATACATATATACATATATATGTATGTATATATGTATATATATATATGTATATATATATATGTATATGTTATGTGTGTATGTATATATATTTTTTTTTTCAGGTTGATAATCAGGTATTCAGGATCAATATGAGTATATAGTTAAAAATATGATCCATGGGTGTCATAGATTAGAACTATATCAGACAAAAGGAAAATTACTTTAATTTCTCTCTTTTTTTCAGGCTTATTTGTCTTTTCCGCAGTTCTCTTTTCTGTTGTGCTAACAGAGATGTTGGCCAAGGTGTAGAATTGGCTATGTAATTTCTGAGCGTGACTCATTCTTTTAGATTTAGGGTGTGTGCTGTGTGGTAGCTATAATGATCAGTGCATTTCATTGCCTACTGCCTAATGCGCCATTACCCTAGGCCCGGTAGTCAATTATCCCCTCAGCCTGAGGTGAGACCACCACATTAACTGTGCCCCGGTCTGCAAAAGAACAGCACCGGCAGGCCCATGTCTATTTTGAGCATCTGATAATAGAGTGGTAGTGACGCAGTGAGTCTACAGAGGAACTAATCACAGAATCTGTTTAGGAAAGATGAAGAGTACAGGATAAGTTTATTCTATACATCTTTGGCAATCACTAGCCCCACTAGAATGCAGTTCGATCTGAAAATGACAGTCTTGACCACTTGCTGACGTCTGCACTGCATACACATACCTGGTAATTGTCATACTTCTGTGTGAGAAATAGGTAAGACTTAATAAAAGTGGACGACTGACACAAGAAAAGAGCTTTAGAGGGATCATCAATCAACCAAGTAAAGAGCAGCCTGGAGCTGTCTTGCAATGCACCATTCTTCTAGAGATCTGAGAAGTCATAACTGGGCAGAAATAAGGCAGCCACACACCTTGTAATTTAAATTTTCAGAGAGCAAGCAGAAAACATTTCCACATCAAGCATGCTCCATTACCAAGCAACTCAACCCTGGTGCTACCCTTGGGTCAAAATGACCTGCCACCCTTGGGTCAAAATGACCTGCCACAAAAAAAAAAAAAAAAACTAAATTAGGGTCCAACTTAACTATTCAACAATCTCTTTAAAGTTTGAAATTGCCTTCAGCAGTTGAGAGTGGACCTCATGTTTATTTTGGGGTGACTGAACAGTTTGAGTAGCACTAGATAGTATCTCTAACCTTTTAGCTAAAGCCAGAGCAGGTGAAAGTGCATATTCTTCTTGAAACAGACCATTTGACACAATTACTGGAGAACATAACACAAGAAACTCACCTTATAAGCTCTATTAATTTGTGCTGCTGCCCAAGTAGCATACTTCATGTTGTCCTTCTTCATCTTTGCACTAACTTTTGGACTAGCAGCAATGTGACTTGCAGACTAGAGGGAGGAAAAAAATAATCAATGCCAAGGACTGTGAGAAGGAGTGTAGTTTTCACCATTTCACCATAATTTTCAAATTGTCACACAACAGGCTTTATAGTATTAATTTCCAGTTTGGAAAGATCATACAAGAATGGAAATTATTGAAAAAAAAAAGGTTGGAAAGGGCAGGGCAGGACATGCTCCAAGCAAAAGGCCCATGTTCTTGCCATCTTCTCCACAGAGCATCCATGCAGGCTTCCTCCTCCTTACTGGACTAGTGTTCTCAAATTCTAACAATACACCAATCAACCATTTAAAAATAATTATGTGGTTTATGGATTTTCACATTCTTCTCCAAACCTCATAAGCAATGATGTCATTCTCAACGGGCTATTCCCAAATAAGAGCATTTACTTTTATGGAGGGGATTCCCAACGGAAGTGTTGTGGCTAACTAACCACCAAACCAGCTGTGGTCAGTGCAAATGAGTCTCTGGATGAGCTGGAGCACAACAGTGAAAGTTTCCTGTTCGTTGGTTGAACCTCAAACACCTGACGTGAACCACCAAGATTAGTTGACAATCAGCAAAACACTCCATTAGACAGATCTGTGACTGATAAAGAATAAACTCCCACCTGAAGTATTTGTTAAAGACCCAAGAGTCATTGGAAGACATTTCAGGAAACGGCTTTGGACCTGGACTGTGTCCACATTGACATGAAAGTTAACAGAGGCAAATGTTTGGACGAAGGCTGCTCTGTCAACGCCTGCAGCTCACAAGTAACTGGTTACAAAAAGTGGTGCTATGTGCTACAATGAGGTGTTTGGACTACCTGAAGAACCCCAGGACAGCTCAGAGAAAACACCAACACTAGGGCTCTGTCTTAGTCCTGCTTCCACTCTGCACCTTTTAGACCATGCACCAGTTCGTTTGTGTTTCTATGTCAGGTCTCACTTACATATGATGCATTGGAGCTAGCAGACAACATCCTGTTCAAACAAATATGTAGATTAAAAGACGTCAAAGGCCACAATTAAACTGGAACTTGCTTGGCAGGATGAATTGCTGATGATAAAACGCTCCCAGGAGTTATACTCCACAGTCTCCAAGCCTTTAAGATCAGGGTGGCTTTGTTTATATAAGAGAACACATAAAAAATGTCTCACCGAAAGAGTATTATGACTAAAATAAAGTGCTCCAGTGGGGGAGACTTTCCAATGCTGGAGTTCACCGCCTGAGTCAGCAGCATGTTGACCTGTCTGAGAACCCCTTCAACTCCCCCAAAACACACCAGATACACACTTGCTCAACCTTGACAAACCACAAGGTTCCAAAAATGGTTTGAGCATTTTCTTTCTTTCTTTCCTCATACAAAATAAAACATACTTACCATGTACAGACCAAACAGTGCCCTCATGTTTCGGTTGTTGAGTCGCAGCGCCTGGGCAAAATACTTTCTGCTAAGTTCCAGATTTTCTAGACCCCCTTGAGTATACTTCACCTGTGTTAACGAGAATGTTTGTTATAAAATAATGTCAATATTAGGAACTTGAATGTATCTACAGTACATGTGATCCCTTGCTTCCTGATGGTTTGTCCAACCTTACCTCTGCATACTGTTCACAGTACAGGTGATTGTGAGGGTTAGTCATCATGAGTTCTTCAAGACAAAATGCTGCTTTGCCATAGCTGTGGAGATCACAACACAATTAGTTTTAGAAACCAACGTTGTCAACTGTGAACACATTAGAAGCGTGTTTTACAACTACCAGTAATTTTTACATGACCTATGAACATGACTATGTTTTTGGTAAAAGACATAACTGGATCTCCACCAACACTTTGAGAACAATCCCATCTGTCCGGTTGTTTTTTCAGACTTGAATGTGTTGTTAATCACCTTCCTGAGGTCAGCACTGCAGTCGGAGCTGGCATTAACCGTCTAAACTCAGATGAGATCACTTCTCAGCAGCAGAGCAGACTGCTGAGCTGTTGACCTCACACTAATCTTCTGATACTCCACTTCTAATACAGTTTCCCCTTATTCCAAATAGACCAGGCCATGCAAAGAATCACTAAAGAAATTCAGATTATATTTTTTTTTTCTCTACCGTTTTTGTGAAAGCTTTTACTGTTCTTGTGAAAGCTTTAAGTGTTCTTTTGAGTACAAACATTAATATAAAAAATAAACAGCTGCAGATGATGTGAAGCAATTCTTAATTATTACAAAATAATATAAACGGTAGTAACATTTCATCTTTAGTATAAGTCTATATGCAGTTTTATTGACTCGCTACTGCTTTACTTGACCAGAATTAAAAAGCTGAGGTACATTGGATAGAAATGAAGGAGGGGACAGACCAAAAGCAAAACTAAACAGGGGGAAGGGTCTGAGGAGTGGGAGATCAGAGGGGTTGGAAGGTTGTGGCTGCTTGCAATTACCACTTCCTCCATATAAAGACTTTCAGATGTGTCGGTGCAGCAGCCCAGGCCCGCACAGAGCTCCACGCACTATCAAAACCACAACTTTTGTACACTGCTCACTACTCTCTATGGATCAAGGCATCCTCGTGTGTTAAATAAAGATTATGTTGTTTTCTTGCTTCTATTTAAAAAAATAATAATAATAAATGAAGCAAACTACTGTTTGACAAAATGAACAAGGGGTGTCGACAGATAACCGGTGAACGACCAACATTTGTGCCCTTACACAACATCTCAGGGGAAGAACATATTGATCGTAGCACAGTGCAAACTGGGTGACACTGCACATCATCATCATTATGTTATAGTTTACTTGGATCTTCTTTTGTTCAAAATGGATTACTGGCTCGTGTTGCTTTGATGATGCTTACTTAGCTTAAGTAAGCGCCAGCATAATTATATGCAACATTTAATGAGCATTCGTTCATAAACACACGTGCACGGCAAAAACACCTGCGGTTCGTCCAACTGCTTGGCATTTATTTGCCCATTATTTGTGATGGGGTCACACATAGCATATGACATTGACAGGCTGCAAAGCATGGTCAAAGAAATTTGGAAAAACGTGCATCTCTAACGTGAACATACATATTTATGAGCAAGTAACAGTAACTGAATACCTTGTCCGGCCGTTGACCTGGTACCTAGTTTAAAGTCAATTAACCAAAATTTCTTTGACAAGTTAACCAATGTTAGCTAATCTCCACAACTCACTAAAAACTACCATTTCAATGTTTGGAGCAAATGTTATGTTCTCATGAAAAAAACTTTATCAAATGAGTTGTAAAATTAAAATCCAGAATATATATATATATATATAAAAAAAAAAAAGACTGAAGCAAACCCACAAATTCTCAATACACTCATCTAGGAAGCAGGAACTAGTTCTAGCTTCTCCAATCAGATTGTCTGCCGTGTTTTCCAACATCCTGCTCGGAACAGTTTGCATGTTCTTTCGTATCTGTGTTTCCCATACCCTTGCTATAGCTCCCAATAAACCCTGAACCACAGAGCACCACTCTGAGACTGAGAATACACAGTAATTATCGCGTTAACTCACGTTAATTATTTTTTTTACGGGTTAATGAAAAATTTTATTAACGCATTAATCCATAATATTCCTCAGAATGCCGCAGACACATGCGTGTGTGAGATGGCAACAGAGCAGGTAGGCCCTCTGGGAATTCAATTTTTAAAAGAATGCCCAAAAGTAAAAGGTTGTGAATCAAACCGATTTAAGTACATTTGGTATGAATGACAATGTGTCATTACATTTGGTAATCTCATTTAACTTCAATTGGAGTGGATTTGAAATAGAATGTTAAAAATACGATTAATCGTGAGTTAACTCACCATTACTATGCAATTAATCAACTAAAACATTTTAATCGTTTGACAGCCCTAGTTTAACTACAATTGGAAATGTACAGATATTTGCATTGGAACAGATAGACTCTGCCCAGACCTATACCAGCCGTACCCCTAATGTGACATTCATAAGTAGTGCTCAGAGTAACACAATTAACTCTATAGTCTGACAGCTTTCAGAAATATTTCAAATCACCTAAATACAATGCATAGCAATTCACATTGACCAGCTTGTCTCACACATATCATATCACAATATATTTATATAAATATATATACTTTTATAATGAAATGTTGTTGGTCATAACATCAGATGCCCAGTCTAGGATAGTTGATAAAACTATCCTAGACTTTATTACACTGCAGATTCATTTAACGTTACCAATCATTCAACATTTCTAAAAATAACATTTTGATGAGACCCCAAACTTTTGAATGGAAGTGTAAATACATCTAAAATATGTTATTTGGCGACATCTGTACTCCTTACAATGACAGAACTCTTGTATTTTTAGCTCCCAGGGTGGTGCACTGTGACGGAATAGTTGGTGCCTTGCTTGTCCATCCGCCTATGTTTTCTCAAGCTGGAGGAAAGAAAAGTGCCACCACCTTCTCTTGGGAATTTCACAGCAAGTGGCCTCTCAACAGAGCCTCCATCCTTGTGGAAAAGGCCACTGATAGTATTGGACTATCCGGAAGAGGAGGAGGGGAAACATGGACTTAGTAACCGAAAAAAAAGAAAACAAAGAAGAAATTGACACGCCTGTAGATAAGGAGATGTGGGAGTGAATGGTGTGATATTGGAAGTGCTGGGATAAGCTGTGGGATAATCCGCTCACCCCTGGAGTTTCTCGGGCTACTACAGCAATAAAACCTCTCAAACAAAAGCAAGAAATATCCAATAAGTAGCCACCACACATTCCTACAACAGCTCTGGACATCCCAGGGCAACTAAGCAGCATGGAGGATGGATCACCCACAAACAAACATAGATTATTGACAAAGCCGCAGTTAAAAACGCTTCAGTAACTTCTAAGCTCCAGATAATGTAGGAAGGATAACAAGGTGACACAAACCTATTTTTATACAATGTTGTCTGATAATTTTCCTTGGCAACCAAGGTATCAGTGGGAGGGTAAGTGACTTAAGACAAGAAACCCAAACAAGTACTATGTGTGTGTTTGGCACATAAAAGGCCTATTCAAATGTGGCATCTGACCTCCATCAATATAGTACACACTAAATCCAGCCATTAAAGTGACGTTGCACTTCCCCTTCCCCCAATCATAATGGAGACAGTGTTTACTCATGTTCGTTGATGTAGAGTTCAGACAATTCATGCCAGGCTTCCTGGTCTCCAACGAATCTGCAATTAAAAATAATGTCAATCTTGCGGGCAATGTATCTTGATAAAATAAATATCAAATTCAAGTTAAGCAAAGATTTACTGGACATGCAAATGTAGGATAATCAAAAACTCACTGTTCCAGATACTCATTGAGCTCCCTGATGGCTTCAGTTGATTTTCCCTGAGCTTTCAGAATGGAGATCTTACGCTTCCTTGCAGCCTACAAAATAATGAAAACTTAATAACTGCAACCTTGTGAAACCTATTATAGTTTAATCACAATAAAATGCAACTATTTTTCTTGAGTTGCATATAATTTATGTTATCATTTAGTTTATGTCCAAATAGGAGGTAAGCAGTACATCTTAAGAAGTCCAAAGATTGCTGCCGAAGATAAAGTATTGAGTCATGTCTAACCAAGCAGGGAAAATGGCACTATCCACAAACCCAAGTGCCTGTCTTTTTGTTGGAAAGGCATGCATCTGAGGCTGCATCTGTCAGGTTTAAATCAGCTTGAAATGACGTTCTGTTTTTGGGCATGCGTGATTGACCTTATACAGGATTAGATTCTCATCAGTCTGAATCTGAGCATAATTTTGCTGCTGCTGTGACTTTTCAAAAGCCTCACCCACCTCCTCTTTATCCTGGTTAAGTGAAAATCTTTACAGGAGGCTTAGCCCCTATTAGAAGTTCACTGCCATTGCTCATTTTATTTATGGACTGGCACTTGATTGAGTGAGGCTTCTTCTCTTGCTCTCATACCAAAGACACTGCGGGCTGTGAGTCATGTCTACAGGACCGTAAATCTGCTCCTCTTCCAATGTTGCCATCACGAGATGTCTGTCCATCCATCATGCTAAAGTGGGACCTAGTGCACTTTGATGAAGAGAAGCATTGGATTGTGCGTGTATACACACAAAACAATTAGAATTAAAGCCGCAAGCGGCGTCGAACGGCCCTCGCCACATCGCTCCGCACCGCAGAGATGTCGGAATTTGACATCTCTCGAGTAAAAACAATAGGCCCTTTCCCCGTTCGGGGCTTGGGCCAAATAATACCCCTATGGGAGTTTTTGGAGGTCAACTTTGTCGTAGAGCCATGAAATTTGGTACACATGTTCCTCAAGTCAAGACATGAAACAAATATATATTATGGCCCCGCCCTCTGACAAACAGGAAGCCCATAAATTTCACTGCAAAATGGAAAAATTAACAGCAATAATTTTCATACATGTCAATTGGAAAGCGGCGACTCCTCGGCCGTTTCACAGATTCGCCTCAAAATCGCTCCACATCATCTCAACATATGTACCTTGAAAATGACTTTGGCTATTTTTCATCAGTGAAACGTTGTTCAAACAGGGGAGCGGCAAAATGTGACCTTTTTTTGGCCGTTTTGGACAATATTCTATTTGCTCCCGTTTGCACATACAAATTCCGATTTGCACAAAACTTGAATCCATGGTTCAACTCTAGGGTCGAGGTCATTTGAAAGTGAAATAATTGAACTTGGCTCATTTTTAGTATGAAAAACTCTTAAACTTTGACCCCATCTGTAGGAGGCGCTAAGAGATAAAGAGATAGTTTATCTCAATGGGGGCTATCCTTAAATAAATAAATAAATGAAGTCATTCAATTATTTGACATTTTCATACATGTCAAATAATTTTTATACATGAGCCAAGTTCTTCATACAAAGAACCTGGCTCATGTATGAAAATTATTTGACATGTATGAAAATTATTGCTGTTAATTTTTCCATTTTGCAGTGAAATTTATGGGCTTCCTGTTTGTCAGAGGGCGGAGCCATGATAAAATTTTGGTCTTATCTTGACTTGAGGAACATGTGTACCGAATTTCATGGCTCTACGACAAACTTGACCTCTGAAACTCCCATTGGCTGTTGTAGGTGGCGCTGTTCTGGCATTTTTTTGAGTCCCATAAAAATAAACACCAAAATATCAAATTTTTCACCAGGTCTGATTTTTGGGCAAAATTGTACAACTTTTCATGCATGTTCAGGGGGTGAAATTAAGGCTCAAAGTACAGAATTTGACATCTCTCAAGCAAAAACAATAGGCCCTTTTCCCATTCGGGGCTCGGGCCTAAAAAGCTAATAAGAACTTTAAAAGTCTCAAAATAAATATATCCACAAAAAAAAAAATTAAGACAAAATGTCAGATATATATATAATGGCATGTGAAACTATTTAAGACATCTTGAATAAAAAAATAAAAACTGTTTTAATGGGTGCCGCATCTGTTCCATAGCCTATAATTACAGCTCAGTTTCCAATATACACTTCATGTATGGGATGCTTTGAAAGTTTTGTGATCAATTTTCCACCAAAACTACAGTAAAATTCTTTGGAGAACAAGAACAATTTTTGTAGCTTGAGTGACTTGCACTTTATCGTTGTATCCACCCTGAAAGTGTATATGCTCATTCTAATAGTTCATAACTAATCAAACACGTTACGGCAATTTAAATGTTGTATATCTTAGAAAAGTAAATTCACGTTAGTGTTTGAGCTTTTAATACGAGGCTGCATCTAACTTGCCTAAGTTTTCTTCGTCTTACCGTATTTGTAGGATCTTCTTGCAGGATGGCATCATAGTGCTTGTTGGCATCATCATACCTTATAACATAGAAGAAAATAATTAGAACAGAAGTGAAAAGGCTTGATAGACATCACAGCTTAAAAAAGGTGATTCATGGATAAAATGTGCCTAAAATATACAAGCTCAAGCACAAATTTGGCTGATCTCAATCAAGGTGAACCGTGGCTGAAAATGTTCTTACCCCTTACCCGTTTGATTTTCATAATTGAATTTACTTTTGGACAATGTAAAAAGTGACCTCCTCTCAAACGCAGTCACAGCCACACTCCGCTCTTTGACTCTTATTTCCCTTCTCCAGGGCTCTATGCTCGCACCACTTCAGTGTTTTAGTTATAACGACACTCAACTTCCGGTGGGCGAGGATCGGCTTGAGCCAACTCAAGCCGACTGTGGCTGAGATGGAGCCACATCAACAGATGTTTACACGAGTTTCCTAATTAATTCTCAAACAGGAATTTGAGGATGCTGGGCATTTTGGGACACATCAATGCTCTTTCTTTGTGCTGTCATTATGCATTTGTAAAGTTACCCTAACTCTCTTAGTAGCCAGTCAACGCTATTCCTCAGAAAAAGCACGTTGACACTTTTGGATCAGTCTCACAGCTGAATGTATCGATCTACAGAGCATTGTGCACTTTGCAGAGAGGGTGATTGGCCGCAGCCTCCCATCACTGCAGGACCTCTACGACGCCCGAGCTTGAGGCCGGGCTGGTCGTATCACAAACGACCCCTCTCACTCTGCACATGGACTATTCCAACCTCTCCCCTCGGGCAGGAGACTACGGTCCATTTGGACCAGAGGCTCACGCCATAGGAACAGTTTCTTCCCCTCTGCTGTTGGACTCTTAAACACTTAATAACCTGCCCCCCCCCGCCCTTTATAGAGTTTCTTTACTGCCCTTTATAAAGTCACTTTACAGTCACTGTCACTTCTTACCTCTCTTCTTTGACTGTTGCACCGAGCCAAAGCAATTTCTTATTCTGTGACTTTCTGTTACTTACATGGCAATAAAAACTTTTCTGATTCTAATTACTAAACAATTTCACTACAACTCACCACAAGGCAATAGCGCAAGCACAGACCAGAAGTACACTAATCTGGTCATATTTACAGGAAATGACGTCACGCCTCTCTGTGCATACAGCTCATACCTTCTTTAAAGTAGGAAGTTGTAAGTAACATAAGAATGTGTTACATTAAATGTGTTATATGTTTAACATTTTTGACCTTACATGTTTTAACCGAATATTACACAGAATATTTCATTTCATTTCATTTCATTTTCAACCCCTTTATTAGTCCATTTCTGGGTCGGGGGGGTGGCAATGAGAGCTGCCACCCAATGCTCATAGCACCAGTCCCTCACTGATGCAGGGGGTGAGTCCACAGGAAGATGGCTGCTCCAGTTGTGAAGACAGCCTTGATCTTTCAGCGGGGGCTTCAGGCAACGTGGGGTTAAGTGTCTTGCCCAAGGACACAACGACAGCAGTCATCAGTGGGAGCAGTTGGAGTAGGTCCCATGGTGGGATTCGAACTCACGACCTCCAGGCCCAAAGGCCAATGCTCTACCAACTGAGCCACTGTCGCCCCAATTACACAGAATATTCCTCCGAATTGATAGTTTAGAGACATATACAGAGGATTCACACTTTTGTGCACTTTAGGACGTCTGTGGTAGTTTGCACTGAAAACAGTGAACAGTTCATATGTTCAACAGACTTTTGAAACGTTAAAAATAAGTTTGACAAAACTAAATCCTGCCGTTAATAACTAACTAAATATGGAGCACTGATCTAGCTGTGAAAACATGCCGTGACTTGTTATGTTTGATTCGAGAAGTGCTAAACTCTTTGTGCTCGGCAAGGGAAGAAAGCAGACGAGCACGGCTCATATCAATGTATTTTCAGTTTAAAGTAAAACCTTCCATTAAAGTGATGGTAAAATACAAAAATTTGTGAGGGAGAAAAAAGCATGTTCTCCTGGCTTAAGCAGGCCACAATAAAAGGAGGTGGAATGAGACATTCTATCAATTAGATTTGATTTAGGCTTCATTCTTAATTACAAAAAAAGCTACAAATCCCTTTACTTTTTACATTAGACGAATTATGCATGAAAAACTTCAGTTGACTATTATTGCTTGCACCAAACGGAAGCAACTCTGTTTCACATTAGCACTTACAGAGCAGCTGCTAACCTCACATTCACTTTATTACTCAGCCGCACTTTGGGAGATTTCAGATGGCACAAGGCAACCCCTCACGGGCCACTTGAGTCACGTTATTTATTCAAGAAACAAGTGAGTGTGCCGTTTGAAGCCATCTCACTCAAGTGTTTATGGCCAATTACAAGCTAGTGACCCATTGGCTTAACTTCAACACAGACAAACATTCTAAATGATCAAGATAAAAAAGAAATATTGTGGAATTGAGTGGAACAAATCTTTCAACCGACTAGAAAGTTAAAGCAAGTTAAAGGAGCAGTATGTAAAAATCTGGCTAAAAGTGGTACTGCTGTCACAGTCAATATTTTGTAGTCTTCTCCCTCTCCCTGACTCAGGTTGCCAGATACACACCAAATCCAGCAGCAAACACAAGGTAATATTTTATCAGTTGTTTGTCTGTCTCCATTTACATTGGCATGATAGCCGTGCTAATGTTGAATTTGTTAAGTTTTTGAATAAATGTTTTATTTTTTTTATTTGGACATTTGAAATGAGAAAAACAAAATAAAAGCAATTTAATTATACAAAGATTATGAAAAATAAATAAGCAATTGATGTCCAAAATAGGAGTGGGAAGAATGGATGTTGGGAACATATTTCTTCAGCGTATCAACATTTCAACATTTCCTCCAGAGGATATCACCCTTCAATTTTATTTATTCCCTATTTTTTAGACATACATGTATAAGTCCCACATCAAATAGAGACTAAGATTTTAATTGGGGTACATGTGGTCTCAAATTATTCTTTTTACAAATAAGCTATAATCTGCAAAAAACGTCTTGATTATAGTCTTTTACCTGATTTTGAGCAATCTGTCATAAAATGTAAAATTATGCAAATAGACACTACCCGGACTCGAACCCGGGTTGCTGGAACGCAAGCTCTGAGACTTAAAGCTGCACAAACTGACTTTATTTTCGTATTCATTACGAAAATGCTATCCATGTCCATGTAGTGCATTGGGATATACGTCCTTTTGAAGAATAATTAGCGCAGATTTGTGCTGCCGTGACATTATATTTTAGATCGAGTTTTGATGAAACAAGGAAGAGAATGTGTTTCGGGTCGCAGATTGTGACCAATCACAACGGACCACTAGCCCCCACTTTCGTGAGAAATCTACAGGTCCGTTAGCATAGACGGCTGAGTTAGCACAACAAGCCGAGGAGCTAACCTGAAGCTTCGTGTCTTCATCACCGGTTACTGCTTACACAGCAAAACAGCCATCCAAAAGAAAGTCCCATTCCTCCGCGCTTCCCGGTTTTATCGTTTTATGGTCACGCCATCCACGTGCAAATCCATATTCATGTATTATCCATATTGGGAGACACTAGCTCCGTCAACAACAGTGAGTGTGTGTGGGGGGCGATAGCTTCGTGGGTGTGGGGAGGGGAGCAGAAAGAGCGAGGCCAGCGAGTCCGCGGCTTCAAAATCCCAAAGTCAGTTAGTGCAGCTTTAACCATTAGGCCACCATTGCACACGATGGATGATGCGGCGAAAAACAGGGTCAATCCAGAAAGTTTTGCATTGCACAAAAACTTTTATCCGCTGTCTCAATTTTTCAAAGGTGTCCCGATATAAATCCTCGTTTTAGTCTTTGTTTTGTCATTAATGATTTGAGAATCATAACAAGACCTTTTTAGTTCTGCGGCCACATGCTATTTTACCAGTGAGATTAGCCGCGAGGAGTTGTGGCACCACGGATCACTCACTTCCTGATTGGCGAAACGGCGGAGGGTAGGACATCTAAAATAATAACAGCTTTTATATATTATATATATATATTTTTAAAATTTCTTCCCTTTAAAACGTCTAAAAGATTTGTGGATTTGGACAAAGCGTGCCCAAAACAGATGGTAATAAATCAAATTCCGTAAAACTAAACAAAACCAATCGGGGGATAACCGATTTGAAATAAAAGATTACATCAATGCCTTAAACTCATTTTGATAGCATAGAAGGTAAATAGTATAGCATAGTAGTTTGTCATTTATCTTTCATTCAATCACACAATCAATAAAATGCATCAAAAGGAAAAACATCATCCATCATTGTACTGCGTCGTTGCTTTTATTTTCCCATGGAATTGTGATTGAGACGACCGGCCGTTGCACATGTCATGTGACTTAAAACCAGCATTTGGTTAAGAGTTGGAACCTTACTCATACCAATTTTATCAGTACTCTACGGTAAACCCTGTAAAACAGTAGTGGAGCAAGCAACGATGCAACACAGAAGAAGACAGGAGGACACCCAGAACAACATTAGTTTGGACCACTTCCTTCACAGGAATTCCGGGCTCAGGCTTGCAGGAAACAGGACTTTTTATTGCTTAAGCTTCAATCATTTGTTTGGAAGAACCCAACATTAACATGGTCAACTTTATACTTAGGTAAGTAGGTAATGTTTATTTATATAGCGCATTTTACAGACCAAGGTCACCAAAAGCACTTTACAATGTTCTAAAATCAGATATTTAAGCTGTGCTGAGACCTATCCAGACCACGCATTAATTTAGCTTTTTAGTTTTCTAATCCAAACTTTCCAAACCCTCATGACTCCTACTAAATGTATGTTTTATAGTCTAGCGCAGGGGTGTCAAACTCATTTTGGTCCGGGGGCCACATACAACCTAATCTGATCTCAAGTGGGCCGGACCAGGAGATGCTCTACAAAAATATCCAAAAACGGTACAAAGTCCAACTTTTTGTGCACATAAACACATTTATTTAAAACTTCCTTTAAAACACTATCCTTTAATACTCAGTTTTCTGTTACAAACTTAAATGTAACAGTGAGTTTTCCATAGTGCAAATAATGTAGCGTATTTACAATATTACATTGAAAATGGTATTTCACAATATGTATATTAATATTTGTGTGTTAGCTTTGTTTTAAGGCTCATTACAGAGAAAACCTGCTCACAAAGGTAAAGTAGGTAGATAGAAAAAAGCACTTTAACACAGCACCTCAGCTTAACCATCTTCAGTGTGGTAAGGTCCATGGTTATGTTATTATCACATTAACCATCTTCAGTGTGGTAAGGTCCATGGTTATGTTATTATCACATTATCCATCTTCAGTGTGGTAAGGTCCATGGTTATGTTATTATCACATTAACCATCTTCAGTGTGTAAGGTCCATGGTTATGTTATTATCACATTATCCATCTTCAGTGTGTAAGGTCCATGGTTATGTTATTATCACATTAACCATCTTCAGTGTGGTAAGGTCCATGGTTATGTTATTATCACATTAACCATCTTCAGTGTGTAAGGTCCATGGTTATGTTATTATCACATTAACCATCTTCAGTGTGGTAAAGTCCATGGTTATGTTATTATCACATTAACCATCTTCAGTGTGGTAAAGTCCATGGTTATGTTATTATCACATTAACCATCTTCAGTGTGGTAAAGTCCATGGTTATGTTATTATCACATTAACCATCTTCAGTGTGGTCAGGTCCATGGTTATGTTATTATCACATTAACCATCTTCAGTGTGGTAAGGTCCATGGTTATGTTATTATCACATTAACCTTCTTCAGTGTGTAAGGTCCATGGTTATGTTATTATCACATTAACCATCTTCAGTGTGTAAGGTCCATGGTTATGTTATTATCACATTAACCATCTTCAGTGTGGTAAAGTCCATGGTTATGTTATTATCACATTAACCATCTTCAGTATGGTTAGATCCATGGTTATGTTATTATCACATTAACCATCTTCAGTGTGGTAAGGTCCATGGTTATGTTATTATCACATTAACCATCTTCAGTGTGTAAGGTCCATGGTTATGTTATTATCACATTAACCATCTTCAGTGTGTAAGGTCCATGGTTATGTTATTATCACATTAACCATCTTCAGTGTGGTAAGGTCCATGGTTATGTTATTATCACATTAACCATCTTCAGTGTGGTAAGGTCCATGGTTATGTTATTATCACATTAACCATCTTCAGTGTGTAAGGTCCATGGTTATGTTATTATCACAGAGAAAGCATCAAACTGACCATGATTCAGTTGAAATGAATAAAACAACTTCCATAACCAAAGCAAAGGAAGGTTTCTCACCCATCATCTGTACTTCTTAGCAAGTTTTACTTCCATAACGTGATTCATTCTTAACGACTGCAGCAGTGTCTCTGTGTAAAATACAGTCAAATGTCCAAAAATCATCACCTCCATTTGCAGCTTTGTCACTACACCTGTTTTTACCATCGGTACCGGTCCACACTGTCCAACACACCAGCAACAACAGCAGAACCAGCAGCAGCACCAGCAGCAGCGCTCAAAACTCCTCTGATAGTTTCAGTAACACCACAAATGAATATGTGACATCAGTAACATCAGTCTCTTATCAATGGCAACATGTTGGTAAAAGCGAGTGGTTTCTCAGACCATGTCTGCAGCCTGTAAGAGTTTAACAAACTCTCTCTCACTGTGCGGCTGCGATGCTAATGCTAATGTTGTTAGCACAGGTAGCTTCCCTTTTACAGCAGCAGAACTAACCTCGCTCTGGGCACAAACAGACTGCTGTGTCTTCAGGGCCAGACAGGTTTATCTTCTGTTTTCTCAATTCTTCGCTCAAAGTGCCGTATTTTTCGCCGAGTCTTGTAGTTTAAGATGTTATTCCTTCAGCACCGCTCTGGTGGAGCCACTACAGACGCACTGGACTCACCCCTGAGCGGCGCTGCGGCGCCTCGCGGCGCGGAGCCTCGCGTCGCGGAGCGGCTTTTTAAAATGTAACTTTATTATATTTTTACATAAATGAGCCACGGGCCGTGTCAAATCTCTTGGCGGGCCGGTTCCGGCCCGCGGGCCGTATGAATGACACCCCTGGTCTAGCGCTTACCTTTCCAAAGCCTCCAGCCTCATGCCAGTCAATCGCTTCACTCTGTGGCTATCAGGAAATTGCTTCCTAAGTTCCTGGAGACATGTCTGAAAAATAATTGAGCAACCATTTACTATAAAATCTTTAAATGAGATTACTCAGAACTGTGGGAAGCTAACGTGTTAAGAAAGTTTAAAAAAGTAATGAAATAAATTGATCAACGGTATTTTCAAGTATGTTATTGCTCTTCTGGATTCCTGAATGAGTTTCATTCACACACTGTCCAGACATTCTTTTATGAAAGATACACATTCAAGAACTGGACAGAATAGCTCAGTTTATATTTACATTCACAAATTGTCAGACTCGGTGCCTGCTGTTGTGGAGGTTCTTCATGAATCCAGACTCTTAAACCATGCTGTTAAAATAATCAGTGACTCTTCTGCCCACCCCGGGAAAAGCCATGTTCCAGCTTCTTCCCTCTGGCAGAAAATATTGTTCGGTGAGATGCAGGACATGTCGTTTTGCTAACAGCTTCTTTCCAAGAGCTGTTATCAGTTTAAACAGAGCACTTTAATGATTGTGTACTTGTATTGTAACTGTTTTAGTTGATCGATTTCACAGTATCAATTGTGTTTGTTTTATTCCTGTACTTTTAATGTTGTTTTATCGATGTGCTTGTCTTGTGCACACTGGGGACTTTTGCAAATGTAATCCAATGTGGTTTTACTGCAAGTGGCAAATAAATGAATCTGAATATGCTTTTGAGGCAGTAAACTCTGGCTCACAGGGAAAGGAGCACAGATCGAGCCGTTTCAATTAAGGTAACATCACTTCAATGCAAGAAATTTCTAATTCGAGAAGTTTTAGTTTAGTTTAGTTTATTTATTTAAAAGGGACCATGTACAATTATAACATAAATGTTGCCATTTGATGCATTGTACCAGAGTTAGCCTGAGGCTAATTTACATCTGCAGTCCCTGGCAGGGAACGGACGACCCATAACAGAAAAAAGACAAGATTCACAAGACAAGGGGTCGACCAGGAAAGACAAACCACATACAACATTACAGATTCATAAAACCCAGACAAGACACATCAACAACACAAATACAGACAAATAAGTCAGTACCAGAGGGAGTGTAAAAACCAAAGAGGGCTGGCATGGCTAGTGTGTACAATGCTGGCTACTTTTTAGATGCTTTTTGAGTTCAGTTTTAAAGCCCTTGATGGTCGTGCATGTCTTTATATTGTCAGGTAGTTGGTTCCACAGTTTAGCAGCCTTCACTGCAAACGCTGATTGACCAAAGGTGGAATGACGGAAAGGTACAATGCAATCATGTAGAGAAGCTGCTCGAGTAGATCTTAAAGAACTCCCAGAGCGCTGTCGCACAAAGGTTTGTAAACAGCCAGGAGCCAAGCCCTTCAGGATCTTAAAGACCAAACATAGATATGAGAAAGTTCTAAAATGTTCAAAACTCAAGAAATTGTATTTTGTCAAGATGCTACAATGATGATGGTTAAATGGCTTTTTATCAAAAATCTTTAGGGCTTGCTTGTACACGGACTCTAACGGTCTAATTGCGGTTTCTCCAGCCTGTCCCCAACAGGTGATGCAGTAAGACAAGTGGGAAAAAATAAGAGCGTGCATGAATATCCTGGCTGCCTCCAAAGAGAGACAAGATCTAATATGTCTGAAGTTGATTACATTATACCTAATTTTCTTTATCATGTTCTTAATATGTATTTTAAAATTCAAGTTAGAATCCAGTGTAACACCAAGATATTTAAAATCAGACACGGTGTCATTTTCTCACCCTTAAAGAAAATGTCTGAAGTTGGGGTTTTGACATTAGTTTTTGAGAAGAACATGGCTTTTGTTTTGCCCACGTTCAAACTCAGACGAGACTGCTCCAGCCATTCAGACACAGAAACCATAGCTTTGGACAGTTGTTCAGCTGCCAGGTGACTGCTTTTAGCATGAGAATACAAAATTGTATCGTCAGCGTACAGTTGTAATTGCACACCGTGACAGCATTGTGCAAGTTTTGACTGTTGTATGGTGTATCACCTAAATTATTGTCACACATATGATCGGGATACGGGACCTTTATATTTTACATTATCGCTTTTACTATGCGGCATGCACTATTGTATGTGTGTATTTGTGAACTTCTGAAACTGAAGTCTGACTTTATCATAAAATAGAACACTAGAGGTGCACCAATCATGAGCAACAACAACAAAAAATCATGAATCATGGAATTGTAATAAATAGTGAAACATGATATTGATACAAATACATGGGGCACTTATACAGAAGATAATATAATGAATTAAAGTGAAAAAAATTACAAAGTTTAAGAGATGCCCAAGTTAACACTTATTTGGCTGAATTAAATAAAAACACATTTGAAAAGTTAAACATTAGAGAATGAATATAAATATTTTATCATTGATTGGTATGATCTGTATCGGACAATCCAAATGTTAGAAGATTGCATTGGTCTCATCATACATTTGAATCATGTATCAGAATGTTACATGAGCTGTCGGTAATCTGATCCATCTAACCAAAAACATTTCTCATAAGTGTACCCAGCTATCATGGTCAAACTAAAGACTCGCACCTGCACATTTCCAGTTCAGAACAGCTCATTTCTGCATTTGTTTCACACTTGGTAGGCGATTATACACATCAACAACTGTTGTTTAAATAACATGAAAAAAAAAAAAGAAAGCACAGCTATGTAGCTCCCAAGTGCCTTTTATTTACAGACCACGATAGTGATCTTTCATAAATCTAATTCATTAAACATTATATAGTGTACTGGAGGTGTGATTAGAATGTGATGTGGGATAAGATAATGGCTCCAAATTTTCCTTGCGTACACATACCAAGTAGTGGCAGTAGAAAAAAAGTATAATATGTTTATTCCATTATAATTAAATCGCTCTTAGTACTCATCTAATTACACATATATATGGAATTCAAAGCAGGACAATCTTACCAAAGCCAAGTCATCCCGACTACAGTCCAATGCAGCAATCATCACCTGTTCATATATGATCCAAACTGGACAGAGAACATGAGACATTAATGACAACAATATTAACAGATTTGAGATATCCATTATGTGTAACATTAGAACAAGTTTTCAACAAAGTAATTATGTAAAATAATGTCACAGAGTACAATGATATTCACATCATCCGGTGCAGTACATCACATCATACATACAGTTCTTATTAATTAATAGTGTATTAGACTCCAGCTCAATTACATGCAGCTTAAAACAGAAACATAGATATAACATTGCGCTGTAGAAATTGTATAACAAAATACAGGCGAAAAAATAATGTGCAACTTACTGTCATCTCCTAGTTTAGATGAATGATCAGAGATGAGTTCTTCACCGACATCAACAATTTGTTCACTATTCCTGCTGTTATCTTCTCTCCACTTTCGCAACTTGTCTCTCATTTCTAAGGGATAGAAAAAGGGTAAGCTAGCGATATTCACGTTAGCTAAAGAACACAGCTAGCTTTAAACTGAATCACAATTGACATCTAATAGTGCCACTTATAAATGCGCAGTTCTTTGTATAGCTAGCCAAAAAGAAACTCTGCCCGGGAGACACTTTTAACTAGATTGGCACAGGTTATATCCTTCTACCACGGTTAGCAGATGGATTGTGCTTTATTTGGTCTTAATGCTAATGCTAACGAGTTGCAGATGACATGCTTTTGACATTTTGTGCACTTGATAGGGCAGAGCAGATAGTTCCGGAAGCGCATTGCTCACTCGAATCGCCCATCAAGGAGTATATTCAACAGATCAAATAATGTAAAATTATTATATAGTTTTACCTTCCCATCCCACATCGTACAGCTCCGAAACTGACGCCATCTTTGATAACAAACGGAAGGAATACGTCATCGCGTTGGTTGCAGCCAGAACATTATCAAGTCAAATCCTTTTTAATAATCAAATATTAAAATACAATTATATATTTTTAAGTCTTCTTGAAGACAAAACACAAGTTGGGCACTGGAGTCGTACATTTCTGAGATATTCTTAATCTACCTGTGTTGACCATAATTTGACTGGCTTTGCTGATCAATGAACCAGGACCATCCGCGGATGTGAGATCCGGAGAGTCATGCTGTTTTTTGTCAAAAGCTAATGGCATGATTTTTTTCCCCATTTGGAAAACAAATATTAATGCAATTTTGTTTTGTTGGCTGTAATTTAAGATAAGATACAAGTGAATCTGGTTTTCTCTCAAAGAGTATAAATCCCCTTTCAAACTTCTTGGGATTTTGAAAAAAATATTGTTATTGTAAATTAAATCCAAGGGAATGAGCTACTAAATCATAATGAATTGCAATGTTATTGATAGTTAAAACTATAATATATATTTGTTATTTATTTATTCATGATTCTCTTCCTTCGCTTCCATGCTTCCTCCTAAATCTACGGAGATCACGTGATCAGTAAGTTTCGCTGATTGGCCAGTTCCCCGTGACGGTCCGCCACAACTTCCTTTCTGCCGGGCCAAGGCGTAAACATGGCGGACTACGATCTCACCACAAAAATTGCTCACTTTTTGGACCGTCATCTTGTGTTCCCTTTGCTGGAGTTTCTCTCAGTTAAAGAGGCAAGTTATATAATAATCGATACATAATTTAGTTGTTCATTGTGTGTATAACTACGACTCAGTGTAGCTCCATCTGCTAAATTAGCGGCAATTGCTAACGCACAGAGCACGTTTTCATTAGCGAGCCCCGAAAAGTATTGGCTTAAAACTGTTACAGAAGAATTGCTAAGATTACACGATGCATTTCCCTCTTCACTGTTGTACTGTGGTCACATTGTTTGTGTGTAATGTATGTGTTAACCCTATGTAATAACGCTAGCCAAGTAGTCGAACACATTCAATTTCATCTCGCATTGGCTTGTGTAGTTAGCTACTTAAATGTTTCAGTGAATGTTGTTATTAACAGAAGGTAAAGGGGTATTTAAAAATAAAAAAATGTTTTAAACCAGAGATGGATCAGAATACACATTTTCTAGGAGCCAGACCACATGCGTTTTTTGCTACTTTTTTACTTCTTGATTAAAAAATATCATTCAAAAATATACCTCCTTAGAGACATTGTCTCTAATGTATTATACTAATATTAAAATAACTTTGACGGTTTTATACCTGCAGCATTTACTAACTCAGTATTCATGTCTTGCTCAGATCTACAATGAGCAAGAACTTCTTCATGGCAAGTTGGATCTTCTCAGTGAGACAAACATGGTTGACTTTGCCATGGATGTCCACAAGAGCCTTTTCCCTGACAAGGAAATACCACACAGTAAGACGACTTGATGAAACCATGTAAATTTAACAGTCTGATTATGTAAGGATTCCCAAATATGTTTGTTTTTCTTAGCCCTGAGGGAAAAAAGGACTGAAGTGGTGGCCCAACTCAAACAACTCCAGTCTGAGACGGAGCCTATTGTGAAAATGTTTGAAGACCAAGAAACAATGAAGCAGATGCAATCTACCAGGTGAGAAAATCAACATGTGATGCAGCGCTGTGGCTTCTGTAAAAAACAAGTCACCTGAAGTTTACTTCTCAATATAGTTATTTTTGTTAAACATATTTTTCAGCATAAAAATAACTGTCGGACATGTAAACTGTTCTAGGACTTAGGTGTGAATCCTCTGTCCTTATAAACATAATCTTCACAATCAAGTGCACTAAAACCTATTCACGTACGCAAAACTGTGGGCGGTTTCCCCTACCACTAAATAGGTCTGGCATGCGCCTTTCTTGCTCCCATCTCTGTGGAGTGAAAGACAGATTCCCTCAAATGTAAAGGCCTTTGTGTCTCTGATCAATGAAAGTCGCATATAAATAAATATTACTTGACCATGGGGTTTCCTTTTGAACATTTATTCAGATTTTCGTTAAGGGTTATTGTTACAAAATTCCGTTATACATCACTATTAGGATAAATAAATACATAATAAAATTATGTAATGTGTATAATTTGTATACATACAAACTTTTATCATGGAATGTACACTGGGACTGGCACAGTGTAAACATGTGGTAAATAACAAATACAAATGTATTTTTTCTAAGCAGAACTATGACGACATGTTTATGTTCTTTTAGTAATGCATTTTTTACTTCAGAATAGGCATGGGTGTCAAACCGGTTGCAGAATGGGCCGGTGTGATTGCAGAGTCTGTGTTCCTGCTTAGGATGGAACTAAAACCTGCTGCCACACTGGCCCTTTTGAGGAAAACTTGAACAGCTAACATAAACATAATACATTAAAATATGAAATAAAATTAAAGTGGCATTGAACATGTAAAATTTGTATTTTTTCAAGTATCAAAATAAAGTGAAATTTAGCTCTTATGATGCATTTACAACTAGTTATCTATCTATATGTTGTGTGCTCCTTTTGTGCTCTTACTTCTGTCCTCTATGCGTCCTTCTGCAAAAATTGCCCACTGTCAGACAAATAAAGGTTCTTATCTTTATCTTATCTTAGTATAATGATTCAAGGATTAACTACAACTGTCTTTTTTTTCCCAGAGATGGAAGAATGCTCTTTGAGTATTTGGCTGAAAAGCATAACGTAAGTTCTCATGAGCTGACACCACACTTCATGCATTTCCCATTTCTCTGCTTTGAACAGATGCATGATTCAAGGTTGAAGTGTTTGGGCCAGACCATAGAGGGAAATGCAGAATTAGCTCTAGAAATTCTTAACTCATTTTCAGTGTTTATGTACAAATTCTGTGGAATTTACATCCTGTGGTGAATAGTTAAGAATAAACCGACGAACCCTGGACTCGTGGATAGAGCCGCAAAAATGCTGGTGGTTCTATATTTACCATGATTTTTTTCTTCTTGTTCCACTCTACTTTGGTCACCTCCATCTCCAATATCATGCAATCCATCCTTATTGCACGTCCGAACAAACACTTCAAAAAACAAAGTGACTATGTTACTTACTATTGGCAATAAGAATAGTAATTTTTTACTTCATTTCATTTGGCATCTTTCAAAGTTTAAAATGACCTTGAAAGCCTTTTTATAAAAATATGATTAATATCTAAGACACTGCCTGTTTCTGTTAATATTTGGCTGTGATCTCGCATAGCATTCAATAGATCTGTATTGATGCAGAATGTCCAGGAGTATGCTTTTAAAGTGACAGACTGAAGTCCTGACCAACCCTGCATTAACAACTGGAGATTTGTCCCTAGGCTCTGCACTGTACCACTGATCCTGGCAGGTTACCCGAGTGGCCTTGAAATGATGGGTCAAATTGCTATACAAGGACAATAATTTCTGGACTATAAGGCGCCCCTGTATATAAGCTGCATAAACCTACGTTTTAAATGAGAAAACAGTTTTGTCCACACATGAGCCGCACTTAAATATGAGATGCCGGTTATCATGTTGTAATGTAGCAGATAGACCATTGTTTTAACTGGTCACACGATTTAATGACGAGGTGTTTAGCAATATGCAAGTTCACTATTCACAAGCTAATTTTTCTGATTGCATTAATATTTGGTTTTAATGTTTTATCCCCATAGTTTCGTCAGGAGTACTTGGATACACTCTACAGATATGCCAAGTTTCAGTATGAATGTGGAAACTACTCTGGAGCAGCTGAATACCTTTACTTTTTTCGTGTATTGGTAAGTTTGCTTTTTAGTATTCTTATCTTCATTACTTATAGGTAAAGGCTGATGTACACTACCGTTCAAAAGTTTGGGGTCACCCAAGTGTTTTCCATGAAAAGTCACACTTACTCACCACCATACGTTGTGAAATGAATAGAAAATAGTCAAGACATTGACAAGGTTAGAAATAATGATTTGTATTTGAAATAAGATTTGTTTTACATCCATCTTTGCTTTCGTCAAAGAATCCTCCATTTGCAGCAATTACAACATTGCACCAAAAACCAGATATTTGCAGCTAGAATAGTCATTTACCACGTAAGCAATGTATAGAGTGTATTTCTTTACAGTTAAGACTAGTTTAAAGTTATCTACAGTGATTTTCCTTCAAAAAGAAGGACATTTCAATGTGACTCCAAACTTTTGAACGGTTGTGTATAGTTTCATTTAATGGATTACACAGTGGCCTACGTTCTGCACTGCATCATTTTTGTTTATTCCAGTATTCCAATTTGATTGAGATTTTTGTGATCAGTAGAAAATTGCATTGTGTGTCGACCACGCAAGAAAGGCTGCAATAGATGTTGATTTATAATGTAAAAATAAATTGCTATTATTATTCTATGTAGTTATAAATATTTAATATCCATAGGATGCCTTTTCTTGTTACAATGAGTTCAGCGTTTGGAATACTTAGAATATAAAACAATGCTCACAACCAAATGTGTTCCATTATGATCTTATAACTGAGATGATATTCATTCTGGATCTAAAATAACATGGACTGTTGATTTATAGTGGTCACTAACACAAAAAACTTCTCTTATTCTAATTGGCATTTGATACTGTGCTTTGTTTATTTTTGTATGTCACATGACATTTGCAAGCACTGGTCTTCCTTAAAATGTTGGCACTGATTTAGCTGTCTGATGAGCTCTTTGGGTTAAGAATGCTTTTTAAAGGATTCTTAACCCAAAGCACTTGTCTAATTCATTTGATAAGTGCACGTTGATTTGCTTCAGTCTGGAGCAAAAAGGGTTGTAATCTAGATGGCATGATGACTGATTAGTCCAAGCTGTCCACAATGTGGTTTTCCTAAGTTCTTTTGTTTTTAACAACACTTGTTTAGAACTTGATTTTGGACTGAAATTAGTGGTTGTTTGGTTATGTAGAATAATGTCTCTCATCGTACCACATACTGTAACAAGATCTTTCTTACTCTCGACTCTTGGCAATGTAGAAAACAATTAAGTGTTTTATTGTTCAGACGACCTTTCTTTACTGCATATTGTATATGTACCATACATAGAACTTCCCATCCTCTCAGTCCCCTCACCTTATCTCCTTTTTTGGGAAAGGTGAGGATGTATGAAGCCATTTAACGTGGGAAACCAAGTCAATTAAATGAAGGAAGCCAGCCTTGCAAAATCCTTGCCTAGGGTTACAAAGTGGCATAGCTCTTAAAGAGCAACTTATTCATATCATCACTTAATGCAGGGATTAAATGTTAAGAATAAAGATTGAGTGTCCGGACAGATCCCCAGCACAGTAAATTTATTGTTGCTGGTCAGGCAGTGAAAAATTCACAAACCAATGGAAACTCAAAGTATCTGTTAAAAAAAAGAGTTTCTGAAATCTGGCCATGTCCTGCACGCTCACTCTCTGAAAGTGTCAAGTGTGTAGGAAGAAGCTTCTCTCAGGTCCTAAAAGTATCTGAATAAATACAATATCGTCTATACAAATGTTTATCATGGTAATGTTATCATTACAATAGATGTACTGTTAAAATAACTAGTGGTCCCGTGTGACTTTTTAAATATTTGAAATTACATTTTGTGAATAAAGAAGACGCAGTACTGTTTGGAGATTTGCAGTTGGTCACTTGTAGACACCCACGTTGACTTCCTGTTTGGCTGCTGACTCCTGTCACTATGTCTGGCATTTTTATCTTGAGGTAGTTTGTTCTAGACCTTCCCATGAGCCCCAGGGTGGAGCCCAGTGTCCAGTGTGGAGTGATTGCTCTGCTGAGCTTCAGAGGCATTCTCAACCTGTCTCCCATTACCTGAGTGTTTTTCTGTTTGCTTAAGCTTGTTCTGGAAGTCACAAACGGCAGTCTGAGATGTTAAGACTGATTATGCTAGCTAAAATATGTCTCGTAACAGCCAGGTCATGTTTCCTTCTAATTACCATGTGATAAACTTGGTGGTCTGTTGGAAAGTTTATGTTGGTACAATGTTGAAGCAGTATTTATCAGCCCCTCTGATAATTAACATATTCTGTGTGAATATTTTGAAATTGAAGTGAAATATTTATGTGTAGTCCTAATGATGGATCTTGTGGTCATTATGAAATGGTCACTGTTCTTTAGGTTCCTGTTACAGACCGAAATGCCCTGAGTTCTCTTTGGGGCAAGCTGGCCTCTGAGATTTTAATGCAGAACTGGGATTCAGCGATGGAGGACCTCACTCGTCTGAGGGAGACGATCGACAACAATGTAAATGTTTTTTTGTTGATCTTATTTCCTTCTTGCATTTATATCCTTCATAAATTGTTTACTCTTTATTGACTCGTTTGTTCTTTTATTTGATTATTCTACACCTAATTGTTGTGGATGTCAAAGTTTTAATCTTGTTACTCAAAATGTTCTTTCTTTTAACTTTCAGACGGTCAGCTCTCCTCTCCAGTCTCTGCAGCAGAGGACATGGCTAATCCACTGGTCTCTCTTTGTTTTTTTCAACCATCCCAAGGGCAGAGACAATATCATTGAGCTATTTCTCTATCAACCCCAGTAAGTGCCAAAAAATCCAGAAAACAGAACGTCTTGGTTTCTACTACTGCATAATAAAACTGATTGACGTATTATCTGAAGTGCTAGAATAGGGCTCTTCCAAAACCTGGAGAAGAAGCAGCACAAGGAATTGTTTCTATTTTTATGCAAAAGTTCAGTATTGTGACTTATGGATCATCTTCAATCTTGATACAGTTCCTTCATGAACAGTGTTGATATGGATTGTGCATTTTACATCACTTTGTTTTCAATTTCACAATGTCTTTCTAAGATGAAAGAAAAAAGATTGAAATAATTTAACTATGGGAACTAAAATTGTGATTCCTTTTATTACCCATGTCGCCCACCAATAATTGTTAGGGCCATCAGTAAACTATAAATAAGATGCCATCCTCTAGCTCTGGTATTGAAATGTACCTACTGTGGGATGAATAAAGGATCTCTTATCCTATTCCTGACCAAGCAAAGCATCAATATCTGGAGATGCAGAGGACGAATTTCCCTATGTGGACAGTAAATTTTACCGTAACCGTATAACTTATTGAATATGTATTGATGATGTTTTGTGTGCATACAGGGCCACACCCAACTTGAACTCTGCAGGAATCTTGCCCTATTCTCTACAATTAGTTGTTTCCTGATATTTCCCTACGTCCCTCGCATTGGGGCACTTTCTTTTTTTAAACTTCATCAGTGTGGTACTTCAAATATTTTTAAAGGGGAATCTTGCTAATCTGGTGTGTGTGCCCGTGTCTGAGCTCCCTCTGGATATACAACACTTCTGTATTGCAGAAGTGATATATCCATCTAGTACTAATGAATGTTTTCTGAAAATAGTGGTCAAGTCTGTGATATGGGCTTTAAAGAGAACAAAGTACTAGGAAATGTTTTGGAGTGTCCATTGAAAAACCCTCAGTCCTTCCCACTACTGGTAGTTTTGCTCGTCACCACAAGTTTCACTCCTCCCCCATCCTTTATAATCATATGCAGGATTGGACTTATTCAGATGAATTAAAATTGATCACAACAACATGAAGCATGAATGCTTCCCCAAATGTTTACCCTGTTTTTAACTTTTGTGTGCAAATGATTTAGATGAGCACAATCGTTCTGCAAGTATCAGAGTTTGCAGAATGATTGGACATATAGCCTTTTAGTCCATGATGTGGTCATGCTCTCACAGAACGTCTCACAGAACTGCTACTTCACTGTTGAAACCTCATGGTTTTCCCACTGAGGCTTGGCTTGCCTCCCTGGTTCCATTTTTGACCAGTACTTCCTTTGGCTGCAATGACCAGTGCTTGGCCTATAGTTCCATGTCTGACCTCTGTTACCCCAGCAGTCAGCACATTAGTCAAAACCTTTATCTATTGATCTATGATTATAAATTAGATGCCAGCATCAGAATTCGAATCAATTTGTTGCCCTTTGCAGAAAAAAACAACATTGGAATACAAACAGGAGACACCGGGGGCACCAACACCACAAAGCACAGACAAAAAGAATAAAAAAAATAGCGAGACACAGTGAGGCACATATGAAACTCATAAAAGCATTGTGTGATACATGTTTGTATCTGTGTGTATTGTACTGTGATGGATATTCTTACATGAAACAATCTTGCAATCTACTAAATGGTTTTTTCTTCCATAGGGGTGTTAACAATGCATTGCAAAAAAGTTTTTTGACAAAGAAATAACAAAGACCAAAATATGTACACACACACACTTGCAAAGTTGCACATCTACATTTGTTTTACTACTTCAAGATCTCTTGGTTCGTTCTGTAATTTCGTGAGTGCCTTTTTGCTGTATAATTTTAAGTGAATTAGTTTTCACAATTATTTTAATTGCACAACCACAAAGTTTATGTGGGACACTGGCCTGCACTGCCTGTTATTTGTGTAGGAGCCAGTTGACCTGTGGTTGAAAAATCAGTCCCTGATGGATTGGATTTCTACCACTGGGCTTGTCCTTGCTCGCTGATCTATATCTTCTTACCAGGTTTACACTTTCCTCCCCCCTCTCATAGGACACTAATGAAAGAGATGGTTTATAGCTTGTACTCATTTACAGCAGTGGACAATCCCACTTTGAGATCTATTGCAAAGGTTTTTTTCTTTATTTAAAATGCCAGATTTCAAACAAGCAGCTAGAATGATGTAGTGTGTGGCCAAAGTAAAGATCATGTCTGTTCTTACATTGCTTTAATAATACATTGCTTTGATCATTCTCTTTACAGATACCTGAATGCCATTCAGACCATGTGCCCCCACATCTTGCGTTACCTAACCACAGCAGTCATCACTAACAAGGATGTCCGTAAGCGTCGGCAGGTTCTGAAGGATCTGGTGAAAGTCATACAGCAGGTGACGTTCATATTTTCATGTTATTAAAGTGTTCAGCTCTAAACTATGTCATAGTAGTGCTTAGTGCTTTTACGGGGCACAGAGAAACTACTGGTGCCCAAACTATTTTTGTATTGCTTAAAAGCTGCAGTTGTTTGATTCCATAATGGTTTTGGAAATAAAGTTGTATCAAATGCAGAGAGGAAGCAAAGTGGGTTCTTGGACATAACCCCAACAAATGCCAACAGAACAAGAAATATAATAAATCTACAAATATTTGGTGAATTCCACTTTTTACAAATCAAATTATACATATCAATTATGTAAGTGTACTTGTACATATTATTCTAAATTCAGATTTGATTTATTCAGAAATTTTAACATTCATTTCATAAAAACAGATAACACATTATGTCTGAAATGGACAAGGCAAAAGCTAAAGCTTATTGAACCTGTCCCTATTAACAGAAAAAAAAGAAAGAAAATCTGCCAGTGTACGGCTATAAAAAATTTAGTTTTTCCCCTTTTTAAAAATTATTTATTTTAAAGCCACCCCCCTGGCCGCTATGGTTGGTTTTGTAGGTTCAGTGGAGCTGAAGACTTATGGGTGACCTGCAGTACAAAATGTTATGTTACTATGTCATATTTAGATCACTTTCACATGAAAGTGATCTGAAAGTAAAAACTGTCTTTGTACTAATGTTAATTTTAGATCTTGTTTTACAGGAATCCTACACTTACAAAGATCCAATTACAGAGTTTGTGGAGTGCCTCTACGTGAATTTTGATTTTGATAGTGCTCAGAAGAAACTTCGGGAGTGTGAGTCTGTAAGTAACATTTATTCAAACTACAGAAGTTATGGCTTACTGTTGGTGAAACAGTGTATTCTGTACTAAAAATAACTATACTGTTTGATTTCCAAATGTAACCATAGCTATGAATATTGTAAGTGTCTCAGATTCACTTTTTTAATATAAACAATTTTGTCCTAATCCGTCTTGAGTTGTGTTCTCTAGGGGACATGATCATTGAGTCTTAAATTCATTTAGTCTTGGGTCTAACTTGGTCATGTGACTTCCTTTGATCTGTGTTGATCATAAAAACGTATGGCTCCTATGTAAATGTTTAGATGCTCTGGTTTAATGAGGTCTTGCTTAAATCCACTGTGATGCTCTAGTCAAAATATCAAATGATGACAGAAGTTGTATAACAAGCAAAAACAACTTCCTTTCAATATTTAACATTCTAACATGTTGGTCTTTGTTTGTACTTCTTTGAAGAAATGGACACTTACATTTTATGGCCCTGTTTGTTAGTTTAGCCTTGCTTCTGTTCCATTGCCACTCTCCTTTGTTTGTGCTCAATGCTTTTAACATCAACCTACAAGTCTTATCCACATTTCTCAACTCAAGTGATCTGTTTGTCTTCCTCTTTTAAAGTCCTACGTCGTTGACAAATTACCAGCGGCATAAAACGCAGCCTTTTATATAAATCGTTATGTTTTTCAATGATTGTCTAAAATGTTCATCTTTACTTGATCATGCAGTGGAGAAGTTTTATTGATCAACGTCTGTGTTTTAAGTGCCTCTTCAGTTTTCACAATGTTATTGATTTTTTTAAATTTCTCTGGTGATACAATAATATAGACCATGTTTTAATAGTCTGTAAGGATGGTCCTTTTTAGTTATTGTGTCCCTTCCCAGCACAGTTTTAGAATCACTGTCAGATGTTAGATGCATGTCAAGGAATGAAAGTATTTCCTTACCTACAGTCAAGCACTCAGGTTGCACATAAAAGAGCTCTCCTCAAGCCACTTGCAAAATTTGTTTTAACTTTGTGGTAACTTTGTGGTCTGAATCCCAGATGACAGTAATTAGGGTAATTTGCTGTTCAAAGTTTATCAGTCCTGGATAAGCATTGTCATAGTTGAAATGTGCCTGATAGTACCATGTTGTTGGGGCCAATATTCAGTTCTAATTATTTGAAGTGCAAGGAAACCACTACTGGAAAATCGAGGAATAATGGCTTCCTTTTTATTTCAATTCAAATCCAAAATGCTATTGATTATGCACCAGCTCATACTTGCCACGCACAATGTCTTTGTGACGGCGGCCTGTTTTTAAATTTACTTCATAAATTCTCTAGACTACTAATTACATTGGAATTTTGTGATCAAAACAATGTATTTGACCATAGTAAGTTTGGCTTATTTCACTTTCAGGTTCTGGTGAATGACTTCTTCTTGGTTGCCTGCCTGGAGGACTTCATTGAAAATGCCAGACTTTTCATTTTTGAGACCTTCTGCAGAATTCACCAGTGCATTAGCATCAGGTATGTTAAATATTACATGTTTCAATATAGATGGAGAAGGGGGCGACCAATATGTTTCTTTTTTTTTTTCAATGCACAGATGATAGTCAAGGAGGCAGATAACCAATTAACCTAGATATAGAGATAAATATTCATTTGCACGCAAAGTCAAATTATGGGTGTCAAACTGTTGAAATACAAACTCCAGCACTCGATATAGGCTAGGATCTCTGCCTATAATCGGTCGAGTGCTTCTCTTGATGGTGAATGTATTAATAATGCAACTCTGTAGGTCTGTTTTGACTGCTTGGGAAGCACTAAATCAGAGGAGGCCAAAAGTAGAGCCCCTGGGTATTCATTTTTATTGCATTTTTCACTAAAATTACTGAAATATGAGAAAAAAGGGAGTTTTTAGGGTGTATATTTCTCCTGCCCGTTTAAAAGTACAATAGAAAGCACAAGTTAAATTAATCATAAACATGTTGCTGCTAAAATTGGACTGACATATCACATGAATGCAATAAGTGCTTGAACATTATAATGTGTACTCTTTTCTAAATACTTTCAACACAAAGTGGTTTAGGGTTTTCGCCTTCTCACAGCGTTTTAGCGACAGCACATGTGTAACCCTAACCCCAGAACTCTGCAGGTTACGGTGCTCTAAACCTTTGTTACAGCAGCAGGTCATGACTTGGATTATTTCAGTTGATTTTATTTGATATGCTTAAAACTCCACTTCTGGCTTTGTTTTGTTGTAGTGTTTATTTAACATGACAGTGTTACTAAAACTATCAGCTATTCAGATTGCATTATATAGACATTAATGCCAATGTCTATACCATGGTGATAATGTAAAAATATGTGTTGGACATAAGCTGCAATTTTTTATCATGACAAAATTCTTTTCAATGATACCAGATTTGAAATCAATCGTAATGACTATCAGGTTTACTATAACTAGTAATATGATTTGTTTTCAATACTTTTTCTTTGTCATTACAATCTATTTTTCTGATGACTAAACCAAAAACATCCCAGTTTGACTGGAGACCATCAACTCGCACTCATTCAAGGGTAATTTAATGTGTAAAAAGAAAAAGAAATACCAGAAAAAAATCCTTCTGAAAAAGGGGTGGGCTGGTCCTGGGCTGGTCCTGGGCTGGTCCTGGACTCTGCTACATCACCAACTGTCTGTTTGTAGAAGTAGATCCTCACTGTGGTTCTCCCAGAGGTTTTTTTCTGGTTTGTTTTTTTTCCAGGGGAAGCACAGGAGCTGCTGTGTGATATTTATCCTTTTGCTCAAATACCTGTAAACATTGGTTCATCTGTTGGTCTTTATGGACCAATGGGGATTCTGTTTGCTTTGTTTGCTTTTGAAATCTGTTGATTGCAAATTTTATATATATTTTTTGATGCTACAAAAATGTATTGATTTGATTTGAAATACCCATTTACAGTTTTTTTATCTCTGTAGTGCATTTAACATGATTATCACCTAAATGAAATGAATCTATCTGACAAGATGACATCGAGAGCCAGATATGGCTGCAGAGGGCTGAAGTCAAGGTTGAAAAGTGGAACATGATCATGGCCTGTCCAAATCTCTAGTTGCAGATTGTCTGGAATTGATTAGCAGTGCTGGTTCTTTTTGGCAGACTTACTGCAATTGGATCCATTTACTTGTTAAGGGCCACAAAGGTTAGTGGTAAAGTTTTAAGAGGAAGTCCAATGGCATATTTTATTTTATCTTCTCACATTTTTTTTTATTTTTGATTGGTGGTTGCTGGCTTTTCTAAAAAATAATGTTCTCAGGGCAGTCTTGAGGATTACAACATTTATTGTTTCCGGATTATGCTAATCAAACATTTTGGAAAACATCCAAATTCCAAGTCATTAGTCTGCTGCCCAGAAGACCTCTGCACAGAGGCATAGAGTCTTTTAATGAGGTTTTTACAGCTGTTGGTCATGTTGGCTTAGCAGATATTTTGTCTCCCATTTGCTCAACTGTCACTTAAACGTAGGACACAATCTGTGCTAATTAAGTTGTTTAATGCAATACAATGTTATGAAAACTGTTGTCTGAGAAGTCTAAAGACATTGCAACTTTTAGTCTGCTTGGATTACATGTCTCAAATTTACTTTTTTGGTCTGACAGTCTGGGTTTTGTTTCCATCAAATGCATATTGTCCTTTGACGTTTAGGCTGAGTTTACACGGAGACAATGTGCCAGTAAAACGGTATAGTTGGACGTCGGTTGCTACCAACCGTTCATACGGAGACTGTGTTTCAGGGGGTTGAAAACGTAAGTGTTCAGATCCAGCCTGCAGAGTGGGACAACTCAAACGCTGCACAGCGGGGGCTCTCTTTCACACCCGCGAGAGGGGTGAAATCCCCCTCTGCTCTGACCCCCACCTCCGCGCTGCTCCCCGCATGTAAATTTGGACATGCGCAGTAGCGGAGAACAAACAAAAACAACAATGGCGCCGCGCGCACCAACTAGCTACGTGGGCTTCCAGCGCGGCACAAAGGATAATTCTACTCCATTGTTCGTTCCTACGAGACCACGCGAAGCTCTAGGTTCAGTTCCCATGTTCACAGCTGCTGTTAAAATGCAGAATGATGTTGGTACTTTCTGAGGGTCTGGTACAGGAAGTGAATATACGGCCGGGAGGGGGGCTCGGGGTCGTGTGTTGTGTTGTAAAGTTTCTCTGCCCACTACTGGCCGGGCGCTAGAACTTCATCGTTTTTCAACCTCATGTGAACGCTGAGAAATTTGCATTAGGAGCCTGGTCGTTTCTGTTAATAGCCTGGAAACGTCTGCGCAGCGTCTCAGTATAAACAGGGCCTTAATGTTGCTTAGAATGTTTTGGGTAGTTTTCCTGATCCCTGGTCTGTGTTTGTACACACTTATCATTTGAAAGCAGTCTGGATACAGTGCTGTAAATCCTTTCCACCTCACAATTGAGATAATTAAAAGACCCCAAACTAATTTTGGTTTCCTTGAATATGAGATTGGTTCAAACTCTGTCATGTAATTGTTCAACCCCATATTTAATTTACACAGACCATAGTAAGTGCTACTTGGGATTTCTCGTCCTCTTCTCACCAAGTGTTAGCCTCAGTGCTTGACCTCCCTTTGTGTGAAGTCGAAGATCAGGAGCCAGCAAGAGTAAGGGGTCGAAATGAAAGTGATCTCCGATCCCCAAAGGAACAGGATTGTGGTTGTGTAAAATAAAACCAGACATGGAGGTTGTCCTCTCAGTTTAAGGGTTAGAGGATGTCAGTAGTGTTGGCTGTTTTAGTCACTCACTTCTCTTCCTTTCCTCTTTGCTCATTCCTGCCCATCTTTTGGACTCTGGGGTCTCTAGGTGGCTGCTGAGGACTGGTTTCTAAAGTGAATGAGGGGGAAATGTTCATGCTTTAAGTGTGCTTCAGCAGGTTTGTAAGAAGAAAATACAATCTGATATGAATTGATTCTGAAACTTCCATCCATCAATTTTCTTCCCCTTAATCCATTTCTGGATCGGGGGGGTGGCAGTCAGAGCTGCACCCAGTTCACTGAGCACCAGCCCCTCACTGATCCTCCTGCAGGAGAAGAGTCCCCAGGAGCTGAGATCTTTCAGTGGGGGCTTCAGGCAAAGTGGGGTCAAGTGTCTTGTGATTCTGAAACTTGTTCTAAGTAAATTATATTATTGTTAGTATTAAGTGTTCTGTTTTGAAATCCTATCATTATTTTGTGTTAAATAACTGCCTGTTACCCCAAATGAGTATTTTTAACTACTGTGGCGGCAGTAAACATCAGATTGTACAGTGCAAACTAGATTTAGAGACCTTTGTTATTAAAGTCTGGTCTTTGCGTTCTTACAGATCTTGTTTAAAAGGGTTCAGGATTAAGAGCTCCCTGTTGAAGGAACTCAATCTTGTTTTAGATTTTTTTTTTTTAATCTGACCCAACTAACTACCCTTATCCTCATTACAACTGTGAAATTCAATACTACAACTAGTAAAACAATAAATGGATGTTGTCGATATTGTCAACAATACAGATTTGAGATTCTGCTCTTAGGATTACAGATGCATCTTTTTTTTCTCCCATAAACGATCATGTCAGTCTTTTTTTTCTTTGACAAGTGGGCAAAGATCCTTAACCAAAGATGCTAATAGTATTTCAGTGTGGCTTTCAACTGCAAATGGCAAATAAACTGTATCTAGACTGCCAATGAGGTGTGCATGATACGATGGCGGAGCTACTAGATCATACAATTTTATATATTTTTTTTTTCAAATTGATATTTCATGTGTTTAGTAGCAGAGCTGGAGTGGGCTGGATGACTATGAACTTGTGTTTATGATCTCTGCTTTGGGTTAGTATTAGTATAATGATTACTTTTTACCATACATTTTTTTATCAATAATGCGGTGTTGGATTGGAATGTGATGAATGAATTCTGAAAATTCCTAGCTTTAAAATGAGGTATAACATAAAATGAGGAAGTTTGACAAAATGAGTGGATACATAACTTCCAATGATTACAGATGTCTTCAACCTTGGGCACATTTTAATCAGCAAACCAGTTAATCAGTCGTTCTATATTTGATACAGTTTTTGATCAATCTTTTTTTTTTTTAAACACCCCCCATTTTGAGAAGCACTGTAATATATGAAACAAATGAATGTGACTTCTTCTTTAAAGACCTTCGAGTCACTTCTTGTGAACCTAAACTGTACAATCTCCTTCATGTTTCTAATGTGACCATGATTACTGACACATGTTATCCATCAAAACCTGCACTCATTTTTTTTAGACTCGTTAGTTCCCTGATAAATATCTATTCAGCCTCGTTGGTTGTCATGGACCACTTTCCACATTCTTTGATTTTCAAAGTCCGCACAGCTGAAACTCTGCACTGACATTATTTTTAACCTTGCTCTGCTTAATGTCAGATCACTATGCAATAAATCCTTTTTAATTAATAATTTTATCTGTTCTTATGATCTTGACTTTATGTTTATGACTGAAACTTGGCTTGACCATAATACAGAAAATGCAGTTTTAATAGAAACAACACCACCAAATTTCAAATTTGAATCAGAAATTCGAGAAAATAAAAGAGGAGGAGGCACAGCAGCAGTTTTTAAAGATTGTATTGTCTCCCATAGAGTACCTCTTGGGAAATTTTCCTCATTTGAGTATGTCTCTTTTAAAATAGAACAAAAACAATCTTCTATTCTTATTATTGTTGTGTACAAGCCGCCACAGTCATGTCATAGTTTCACTGATCATTTCACCGAGTTGCTTTCAGTTGTGTGCACAGACTTTGATAGTTTAGTCGTCATAGGTGATTTTAATATACATGTAGATAACGTTAATGATAGATACGCGAAAGAGCTGAGCTCTGTGCTGGAAACCTTTGGTCTCACTCAGCATGTGAGTGGCCCCACCCATAGCAGAGGACACACTCTCGATCTGCTAATTACTAAAGGGGTTAATATCTCAAATGTAAATGTGGCCAATGTTGCTCTGTCAGATCATTTCTGTGTATTTTTTGATATGTGTCTCAATAGTAAAGCACGAGCTGAATCCTCAATTGTTAGAAGAAGAAGACACATAAACAAAAATACAGGTGAACTTTTCATGGGGATGATAAACTTTGATAACACGTTGTGTTCTACTGTGGATGAATTACTTAACTCTGTCACCTCTAGTGTTTTGGATGTTCTGGACACGATTGCTCCTGTAAAGGTCAAAATTGTTACAAATAAGCAAAAGGCGCCATGGACAAAAGCAGACTCTGTCAGGGCACAGAAGAGAGAGTGCCGGAGAGCCGAGCGGAAGTGGCGAAAGTCAAATCTCCAAGTTGACCATGAGATCTTCAAAGATGCATTGTGCAAGTTCAACAGTGTGCTACGTAGAACGAGGGAAACTTATTTTTCCGAAACAATCGAAGGTTGTAGTGGCAATCTACGCGTTCTGTTCTCAACGGTAAATAAATTGACAAATCCCCCTGTTAAGATGCCATCAGAGCTTACCTCCAAAACCAAATGTAATGAGTTTGCAGAGTTTTTTAATGACAAAGTCCAAGGCATCAAAAATGCCATCACCTCCACAGTAGAAATTACAATCCAACAGCCAGTGAAGCTTTTTGGGCTGACACACTTTACACCAGTACAAAATGAAACTGTCCAAATGATAATTACAAGTCTGAGTTCTTCTACATGTAGCCTGGATGTATTACCTCCTAGATTTCTTAAATCTGTTCTGAGCAGTCTTTTACCTTCACTCACGCATATAGTAAATATGTCTCTTGAATCTGGAACATTCCCAATGGCCCTGAAAACGGCAGTCATCAGACCCCTCCTAAAAAAGAGGAGTCTGGATGCCTTGGCACTTAAAAGTTATCGGCCCATTTCAAATCTGCCTTTCATGGGTAAAATTCTAGAAAAAGTTGTCTATCACCAACTTACAGAATTTTTAATAATCAATCACTCTTTTGATATGTTCCAGTCTGGTTTTAGACCCCACCACAGCACAGAGACCGCTCTAGTGAAGGTAACAAATGACATCAGACTTAACACTGACGCAGGAAAAGTCTCAGTTCTTATCCTGTTAGATTTGAGTGCTGCTTTCGACACTGTCGATCATGGTATCCTCATTCAGAGACTTGAGGACTGGGTTGGTGTTTCTGGAACAGCCCTAAGCTGGTTTATATCCTACCTACAGGACAGAAAGTATTTTGTGGAGATCGGAAACTGTGTCTCAGACCATCTGGCCCTGACCTGCGGAGTGCCACAGGGCTCAATCCTGGGGCCTCTCCTGTTTAATATTTACATGCTGCCTCTGGGTAGGTTAATACACAGTAATAACGTGTCCTATCACAATTACGCTGACGATACTCAGGTCTATGTGTCCCTGACAGCAGGAGAACATGGACCAGTGGACTCGCTCCTTCACTGTATCCAACAGATCAGTGATTGGATGCAAAATAACTTTCTCCAGCTAAACACAGAAAAAACTGAAATTATTGTTTTCGGACCTCAGAAACAAAGAGAGAGCGTTATCTGCCACCTCCAGTCTCTCTCCCTGAAACCCTCAACTCAGGTCAGAAATCTAGGAGTAATAATGGACTCAGACTTGAATTTCAATAGCCACATATCATCTGTGACATCATCAGCTTACTTCCACCTAAGAAACATTGCTAAAATTAAAAACATTGTGTCTAAAGCAGACTTGGAGATTCTTATCCACGCATTTGTCTCCAGTCGATTGGACTACTGCAATGGCTTGTTCACAGGTCTCTCTAAACAAGCGGTAAAACAGCTGCAGTACATCCAAAATGCTGCAGCTCGAGTCCTGACTAGAACCAGGAAGTACGACCACATTAGTCCGGTCCTCAGGTCTCTGCACTGGCTTCCTGTGGCTCAGAGAATAGATTTTAAAGTAGCTTTACTTGTGTACAAGTCTCTCCATGGCCTCGCACCAGGGTACATCCGCGACATGTTGGTGCCATATGAACCAACTCGGGCTCTGAGGAGCACAGGGACTGGACTTCTGTTAGTGCCAAGAGTCGGAACTAGACATGGGGAGGCTGCGTTTCAGATTCATGCAGCTAGAGTCTGGAACCGTCTTCCCGAGAGTGTGAGACAGGCGTCTACTCTAGCAGTTTTTAAAACTGAACTGAAAACAGTTCTTTTTAGCTGTGCATACAAGTGAATGATTTTACATTTGTTTTTATCTTTAATCTTTTTAATGCGCTATGATTATTTATGATTATTTATGATTGTAATCCCTTGTGTGATTTTAATTTTTTACGGTTTTTAACTACTTTGTTAATTTTATATATCTTGTGCTCTTAATCTGTCTTTTTATGTTTACTTAAATTCTAATGTTTGATGATTTATGCATGATGTTATATGGGTTGTGAGGCGCTTTGCGTTGCCTTGTGTAGGAAAGGCGCTCTATAAATAAACGTTGATTGATTGATTGATTGACTTATTATTTTCATCAATAATACATATTCAATTGTTGCATGCATTGAACTGAATTACTTTTTTAGAGTTATAAAGTCTTTTTCCTTTCTTTTCTTAGTCCTTATTCCTTTTTCCATCTTTAAAAATATATTTAACATATTTAACATAAAAATAATGTCAGTTGTATATTGATTACAATATAAATTGTATATTATTTACAAAATAAACAAACATTATATTGTTTGTTTATTTTAAACAAATAAATGTACAAGAAACAAAAGTAGAATATCAAAATTGTGCATAAATAACCCTGAGTTACATGTACATAATACAGAATTATAAATATTATATACACAAAAGAAACACTTGCAGATACTTGAAAAGGAGTGGGAAGAAAGTGGGTTTGTAGAAGTGAGGTTTAGAAAACATTACTTTACATTATATTCAACTTGTATTAGGCCAAAACAACTCTATGTAAGGCAAGGCAAGTTTATTTATATAGCACAATTCATACACAAGGTAATTCAAAGTGCTGAACAAAATAAGAAAGCATTTAAATCATAAATAATCACAGAACATTAAAAATATAAAAACCCTCAGTTGTATGGGGATCAGATGGAAGGAAAACAGCAGGAAATATGGGGGAAGGGGCTACTGAGTCCGGTCCTGGGGTTATTTTGAAAACCACGAGGGAAGTCAGCTGCACAGGCAAAGTGCAGCTCTTTTGGATCAAAGACTACGGGCCGCTCCAGAGCCTCTCGGCCGCCGCTCTGACACTCTGAGGGACAGTGAGCGTAAGGCCAGGTCCAAGCTCTGGGTCTTTCGGCATCATGTTAGCAGGTTTTCTATCGGCATTTAACACCTCATCTTAAGTTTACTGTGATCTACGTGTGCCACTATTGCCGCTGTTTGTGTGACAGTTTGTGTAATGTCTTCACAGTATGCTGGCGGACAAGCTGAACATGACACCTGAAGAAGCTGAGAGATGGATCGTAAACCTGATTCGTAATGCCAGATTGGATGCCAAGATTGACTCCAAACTTGTAAGCTTTGTGTTTTACTTCAACATTTACTTTAAAACATTCCGGGTGACTTGTTTTGAGATTTTGTGTTGAAAGGTAAGTGCCAGCAGCATATCCTCGCTTTCAGAGGCTTCTTGTCGAATGTGCATGCTTTGGCATTCAAATCGCAAAAGTTCTCTATAATCAGCAAATCATAGCCCATTTCTTTTGAATGACATAGAATTAACTGGTTGTGCATAAATATGAACAGTGCAGACTCCTGTTGGTGTCTGTGAGATCAAAGACGCTTGGCTCATCGGCTGCTTCTGTAAATGTATTGACCTTTTTCTTTTCTTTTAAGGGCCATGTGGTTATGGGAAACAATGCCGTATCACCTTACCAGCAAGTGATTGAGAAGACTAAAAGCCTTTCCTTCCGAAGCCAAATGTTGGCTATGAACATTGAGAAGAAGCAGGCCCACAACAACAGGAACGAGGTGAATCTCACTTAAAGCACTCACTATCCTAAAACACAAGCTCCACTTTCCTTCACAGTCGGACATTACACCCTGGACTAATTGGATTGTGCAAAGGTTACTGTGTACTTTGCAAAGCTCCAAAACGATCAGGAGAACGATGTCAAAGAATGTACACGAGCAAATAGCAACAAAAGCTTTTTTAACACGAATTAAACCAGTAATGGCAAGTTTAACAGCAAACGCTTTCATCCCTCCATCCACTCTTCAAAGGCCTAATGACAAGGTGGATTCCAAACAACCATAAAATGCTGGCCTGAGCGCAGTGACTCAGAGCGGCAACATAAATAAGGTGGACGCTCATGCTGGACTTTTGGTGAACATTAGTCAAAACGCAGGAGTTCCCTGCACTTTAGCTGCTGCAGATGTTTAGCTGAGGGTCCAATCATTGCATTGAAGTGTTTTGGTGTTGACCTTGTGTATGTTAATGGGAAATAGTTATAAGTACCAAAGTTACCCTATATGTCAAATTCTTCTCAGAAGTGGAAGCTCTGGGAGATCAGTCTGAGAGTGAAGGGATTAATAACTTTGTTTGACTCATAACCTGCAGCAAGGCCACAACCTGTTAACTGTTCACCTGAGAGTGCCCTTGGGCGATGTTTGATCTGCCAGATTCCTCCTCTTTCCTCCTGATTGAATATTGTTTGTTGTAAAAGGCCTTAAGAAAAAGAATAAATCACTATAAAATTGTGCGGATCTCAAAACCGCAAATGATAGAATGATGGAAAGCACATTTAACCATCACTTCAGCTAGGTTTCTTCTTCTGCTTTACTTCTGAGTAATAAAGACCTACATTAAAATGTAAATGTATGCCATGTATCCTATGCTCCTAGGTTTTTGTTACTAAAGTATTTTTAAAGGTTAATAATAATGCAATTAAGCATTGTATCCTTTTCTGTTTTATGGCTAAAATAATTCCTTTAAAAAAATACATTTTATAATTTCACTTTAGCTTGAAGCCTTAAATATGTTGTAGGTTTTATCAACCACTTGTCATTGAATATTGGAATTGGCACAAATATCCATTAAAGTTCTTTTCTTTTTTCCACAGACTCCTAACTGGGCAGGCCAGGATGCAGGTTTTTAATGAAGCAAAGAAGACTTGCTTCATACACTGCCTTTTTCCACTTATTTCTGAAGGGTGCAGCGCCATTTTATGTGCTGAGGTCAAGTCTTCACCAATTCAATAAAAAAGTGACAACCTATTGCCTCTGGCTTATTTCTAGTCTGTTCCAAATCACAGCTAAGGTTTGAGCGGTCAGACTTTCTTCTCTATCAGTAATGGTTGATGCAGTTTTAATGCATTGAGTCACTTGAGTGGGATGGTTACAACGTGCACAGCAGTGACGAATGTCTGTTTAGTCTGTTGCTTTTATAGCATTTTTAGTGGTTCGCTTTTTACAGAGGCAGAGTGGATGTCAGCATCAAGGGGCAAGCAGAGGTGATGTACAGTTACCAGTGGTCAAACTCCCTGCCAGTCATCCTGCCCATCAGAGCACATGAGGGAGCCATAAAGAACCATTAGCCAGACGGACACAATCTTTTTAATGTCCTGGCCCTTCCCCGCCTCTGTGAGCTTCGACCTTCTCATAACTCAGTCCACAGCCCTCTCCTCCCGCCTTCTTTATCTCAATCGCTCGTGAACCAAGGCTTTCATTCCTTCACATGTTTTTAATTTACCCTCCTCTCGCACACATCGGAAAAGGCTAGAAAAAAATATGTAATTACGTTGCCATTTCAGTCCTGAATCAATCAAGTAGGAAAATCAAAGTATCAGCACCTGCTTGTAGTTCTTTCACGCCTTGATTAAAAACAAGGATTTTGTCCTCTTTCTGTTTTAATAAGTGCCATAAAATTAGTGAACTGAGTAGGTGTTGTCGACTATTTTATCTTTATGCTTGCAGTCAAACTTTTTGAAGGTGGATCCACTATGAAAAGTAGTGCTCCTGAACTCACGTCACATTTTTATAGACTTGATATTTACATAACTATAAATGGTGTTATTTCACTCAATCATTCAGCTTTGTTTCTGAATGTCACCTGGCATTTCTGTTCTCTGTTTGCTGCTTATCCACAGTCTCAATTATGAACCAACAATAGAGTGAACTTTCTGGTTTTCTTCCTCTGATCTTCCTGACATTTAGATGATTGTCTGAGATTCTTGTACATATCCACTTGAGACAGTGGATGAAGAGGGCCACAGCAGCCGCCTTAGTGCTGCTGTAGCATTACAGCACAGAGCCAGGCCATCAGAATGCTGACATCACCTCCAGTTGTGTGCACTCCTCCAGAGGGAGGGAGGGGAGCAGTGGTGTAAGGAGAATAATGTGATTGGTTTACCGGGCTCCTCCATGACACATCATAAAAAAGTGCTCGAATTATCACGCTCACCTTTCCACTGCATATTCAGATGTTGTTTTTAGAGTGTCCAAACCAAGGCGTGTGTGGGGCTGTCTGCTGACCACTGTGGTTCACTGCTTTTTGAATTTGACATAAATAAACAAAGCCAAAGCAAAGGTCACACCTTTTGGGAGGCTACAACTACTGCTACTGCGTTGTTGTTTTTTTCTTAATAAAGGTTATTTTTTGTTTTGAGGTGATATTTAATTATGTAGTTTATATATTTTATACGCCTGACAATGTCTCACTGTTTACTTTATAAGATGAATTACAACTTTTAATCGCACAATGGAGAAATGTACATGTCACATGTGAGCATAAATACAGGAAATGTGCAAACATATAAAAAAGTTAAAAGATGTGCAATAAAGGTATTTATTTTGTAAAACATTTCAATGAAATAACTTAGTAGTGATCAGATAACTTATGGCTTTAAAACAAGTTGAACGAAAGTTGCTGACTTGTCTGCTGCCCACCTCCTAATTTAGTTTAATAAATACAAAGATTAAGTGCCACACCTAGTGGCAGAAGAGGGTAAAACACCCACAGCTGAAATAGGATGAAGTTGTTATAAAACGGAGACAAACGCCACACATCCATTTGCGAGATTCTGTCGTGACCTTCTAAACTTGTAATTTTTTTTCTGCATTTTTGTCTAAAGACAAAAGAATAAATGACATTCAGTAACTATATTAGTTTATTAAAAATGTGCACTTCTTAGTTTTTAAAAGTGGAAGCAATGTCACATCACATAATACAATAGGTGTCCCTGTGGCTTATGGGCATCCTTCAATACAAATCCTGGCAAAGCCTAAAATGGTCATTGACTAAGATAAAACCAGGACATCTAACTTAGTGGGAAGTCTGTGTATATAAATGATAGACATTTTTATGACTTTCAGCAACCTATAAACCCTCAAAATCCAAGTTGTTTAAAAAAACAAAGGTTCAATGTGCGCTATTGTAACGTTCCAAGCGTTGCAGGACCTCACAGTAAATGAACCAGTGACGTGCAGAAGGTGGTCTACTTCAATAGATGACTTGTTCAACACCTTACTCCACGAGAAACTCAACCCGGGAGCCACACGTGACATGTGCGCCTCTATATGAGAAAGAGCAGAAGCATCAGGACCAGTGCGCGTCAGGCATCGTCCGGTCTCAGAGCAGTGCGCGCAACACTCCGCGCTCCTTCCAATCAAGAGACACACGTGAGTGACTTTAGTGGCTGCGAGACACGGAGCAAAGCCCATCTCAGCCAGGATATGCACGGATTATAACCTGCTGATTATTCTCAAAGAGGAAATCCTGTTATCATCCTTTCTCCTTCTCCGGACTTTTCTTGTTTAAGCGCTGCCGAAAAAAAGCAAGTTTGTCCCGTACGTAGAAGGGATGCTGTACGTCTCCGAGCTGCACTTGCCCTCCGAAGGAACGTAAAATCTACTTTATTTGATGCAAGTACTTTTTCCTGGAACGATTTCAGTGACTTACTCTCTCGTTTTGGAGGTGGCTTTTGAGCGGTACGCGAGATTCCTTCAGCACACTTGCACCAAAAATACACTTACACTACTATGCTTTTAGCCCTAACACGTATCATTGTGTATTAAAATATTCATTATAAAACGTGTATCCCAATAACCTGGTCTTTTCCTTCTTCTCTTAGCGCATCACAAAGTAGAGTCCTTGGTGAATGACGGCTCCGTTTGGGAGCGCTGCATACAATGATCCCCACGGGCGACGTGTTATCATGTCGCATCTCCTCTGATGTTTGACACTTCTGAAGAGGGAAACTGGAGGTGGACATCCAAAAGTCTGTCCAAGCCACACGACCTGCACTCGAACCTTCCTCGTTTCTTGACTGGAGTCCGAACACCGACCCCACCGTCCAGATGCAGTTTCGACTCTTCTCTTTTGCCCTGATCGTTTTGAACTGTATGGAGTACAGCAGCTGTCAGGCGCCCTCGCACCGCTGGAGGAGAAACAAAAGAGGTAAGACAAGGTTAAAACATTCTTTCACCAGCCACACTCAGACAGTGACTCTAGCAGATGGGAGAAGAGGTTGATGCGGCTGACTTCAGATCAGCCTCTGTAGGCATCACAGAGAGCGCACATCCATCCCCATTGATGAAAGTAGTCCATAATTCATTCTTACAGCTGTCTTTCAGCACGTTATATGTCGGCGTCTTTACAGTACTTTTGCACAGATGTTTTTAAAGAACAAAACTGTAATGCGTAAAGCGTGCGTAAAATTGGCAACGAGTGCTTTTGTCAGAATCAATAGGAAATTGGCTGCTTGTCTGAAGCCATCTTATTACATTGAACAATAAAGTGTGGTATCTGATATTATGGTCCCAAAGTGGCCAACAAAGGATGCCCTGTTTTATTTCCACGTGAAACTGATTAAAAAAAAAAAAAAAACGCTGTTTGCTGAAAGGATTATTCAGAATCAATTGATCCAAAAAGTCACAAATTTTCATATTTAAGCTTCAGATCCCCAACTTCAGTTTAGCTTTATGCCAGTCTGTATTGGAGATGATAGTGTCAGTTTTGAGGAGGATTTGAATCAATCAGTCCTTGAAATGCATTGAATGATGAGTCACCAGGATTGAACACGATTCTCCCTCTCTCTTCCTGAGACCTGATCAGATAAGTGACATAACGGCAAATCCTCAGAGTGACCGTGAGACCAGACTGGAGTACAGACTGAGTGGATATTGGTAACCGAGGCACAAAGTTACAGTACAGGGGAGAAGTCAGGGGAGTGAGGGGGTCTTGTGAATTGTAAGGCAATCACAGATTTAATCATATACGCTGCGTGCCAGGGGGAACCTCCACACTCTGTAAGCCCTCCACTGCCCATCTGCAAATAATCAGCCAGTCACTGCGAGGTATTGGCACACACACGTTTTTCAGCCCCTCTGTGCATTTCCCTGTGTGATCTTGTGCAGCATTTAAGTCCATTTTCTTGCTTACTCTTTTGGAACGCATGTAAGCTGGTATTCAGGAAAAAGTTGGAGTTTCTATGTGTTTTTGGAGCCAGGTTGTGTGAATGGGAGAGTTCGAATGGAGCTTTTATACCACTGTGGAAGGGATCAAGAGGTTAACTTACATTTGACCCATACAAAAGCTTTAGGCTGAGCACCACATAAGCTATATATTGTTTCAGCAGTTATGTGACCGGATGTTACACTTGTCAAAGTAATCCAAAGCAAAAATGTGCAGGTTTTGCTCTCTCTCTTTCCCTACATGTGTGTATGTGATTGCTGCAATCCTTTGTGCCAAAAGTGCCATTCTTGCAAAGAAGTGGCAGTCAGCCAGAGGTTTTTGGTATTTGCTTGCTTCCTTTATTTATCATGGTTATATTAAAAAAAGAAGCATGTGTAAGGGATCCATTGTCCAATACCCCAAGAAATGCTTGAATATTTTTTAGCCCTCAAGGTTTCTGTGACAGCTTTATATACAGTCTGTCTGGCATGAGCAGGGAGCTATCCAAACCATTCAGGAGTGGTGAGACCCAGACGCATCAGAAAAACTCAGTTTGGCTTCAGTGCGGTTATGTTTTACATGTAGCAAAACACAAAACGGACCGCTTTGTTTTTTACATCAATGATTGAAGGGGTTGTGTTTAGTCAAGGAGTCCTGCACTGTTGATTCAATTATAATTTAAATACATCTGAAACAAATGGACAAACTGCTTGGAGTGGACTTTAATGTGGTCTCTCTGGGTTTCAGAACAGAACCCTGTCAGCTTGCTTGTGGTCATCACTTGTAGACCTATGTGGATATTTCTTTTCACACTTGCCAATATGTGTTAAATTTGCACCTTATTACCCTTATCCTGCTCATTTGGAAATGGGATATTATGTCAATGAGCCTAGTCATGATATCATAGACACCAGGGTATTACACTCATTTTTTTTTATTTTCCGGCTAATGATGCCACCTGCTGACTACATAAAATCAGGCTTCAGTAACAAATGTTGCCTGGAGGAGTTCGATATAAGCAGCCTCCAGATGTTTGAACAGGTAATGGGTATGTAATGGCACTTGAGGTGGTGAAAAGTTGCCATGTGATACCATTAACTCTACCACATGTGAGTCGCCCAAGACTGCAAAGCCAACATTCAATTCCCTCGAGGAAACGCCTTGTTTAAGATCATTTGCAAGTGTGTAATCCATTACTGCATGGCACAATCTCTAATGTTACGGAAAGGACTGAACATTAAATGCGTACGTGTATTGGACGGAGGCAGTGGAGTCTCCTGAAGACCCCGTTCACGTGACAGTGAGTTCTGGTTTTCTTACGGATTCTAAAAGGATTCTTACTTCTGCTCCCTGTCTCTTTCTGTGGAGTGAAAATAAATCAATATTTAATGAACATGCAGCAAAAGGTTTATAATCACAGAAGAATGCACATGGAATATCTCACCGCGTCTATAAAATTAAGATTTATAACATGATTAAAAACTAATCTCAAACTCACAAAAGAACATACGTAAAAACAAGACGTAAATCAAGTTACGTGCCATTTCTTGAATGTTTATTGAATATTGAATAAATAAATAAAATTATATAGACTTCATACAAAAGAAAAAGTGTGGAAGCATGGATTTGCTTTACAAAGACAATAAATTAGCTGTTGTAAGCTTGTGCTTCTCAGCAACTGGTTCCGGGTTCGATTCCACCTCCAGACGTGGCCTTTTTGTGTGTCTGTGTAGGTTTCCTCCAGGTGCTCCGGTTTCGCCTGCCACTAAAAAGACCAGGTCTGGCATGTGCCTCCTGTATGGCGACCCAACTTCCATCATCGCGTGTGAAGTGAGAGGACAATTATAAAATGCTTAATGACACAGTCTGTGAAATGCGCTATATAATAAAATATATACTTACTCACTCACTATGTAGTTGCAAAATATATTCCTGATTTCCACAGTATTAGGTAATGTTTTTTTTAAAGGGAAAGCCAAAACAAATGTGTTCATCCGTTTCAAATTACAAAAATCAGACATCACCTGTTCTTAGTTCCATCTCAGAATATTATATTATAGCTACAGAAAACCTTTTTAGATGTATTCAGTTTTGGAAATCATGTTTCAGCGTTCATACAGTAACAGCCCTGCACCGAGTCCCAAGTTTGAGGGTGTAAGTGTTAATGTTGGACCACGCTACTGTGTGTGAGTGCAATATAATACGTTGATTAAGTGGCTAACGGGAGGAGAAGAAACACTCCAGAAGGTGCCTAATGCCCCTTTTGCCTTTCGGAAAATGTGAAAAGGCCTTACGATGGCATGTCTGTTAACAAGGCTTTCTCACATGATGCGCCGCTAATCCAGGTGATGGGAGCATTGGATCCTGACTGTTTTATTCCATTAGACTCCAGCTTTACGGGGCACTCTTTGCCTCCGTGCCAGGGGCTGTCCACAGATTGATCGCTTGACAGAACGCTGAAAATTGATCCTACGTTTGACAGGTTCCCGTGTTCTTGACTTTTTATTCTCAATTATGGTCACGGGGGAACAGTAGGGATAGTGGTGGGATAGCGGTGGGATTGGGAGTGTTTTAGGGGATGAGGAAGGCATATTTAAGCAGATCAGCTGGAAAAGGCTGAATGTGAACAGCATCACCTGAGTGGGATTATACAGAGCTGAGACTTGACCTGAGCCGTGATCTCCAGCGTCAAGGAACAGGCCAAAAAAACCTTCTGTACATTACAGCACTTTTCCCATTTGTATTTATATTATTAGCTCTTCATGCTACCGTGATTAAATATGAGTCACAAAATGTAATATAAACCAAGGTTGCCCAGACGCGATAGACCTACTCCCTTTTTTCCAGTCATACATACATTTTTCACACACTCGAGCAGAAAATGAAAAATGTGATTTGTGAGAAAACTTTTTGTCCCAACATAGTAGAACTTTACCTGGAAAATAGTAGAACTTTACCTCAGCACATCAGAAACATGTCTAATAGTTTTTTCATGAGTCGACGTATAGGTTTTTACTCGAGTCCTCACTTTTCATTCCAGATTGAGCTGAGTGATCTGAGGAATTCAATTTAAAAACAGTGTATGTCAAAAACAATATGTCTATAGCCAAACTTATTCAACTGTGCATAATACTTACATCCCACTGACATTCAGATGTCAGTGGGATGCAATTCATTTGCTGCATAAACTCAAAGCAGAACACACAGACTCTCACAGTTCACACAGCAGCAGGTTACACAATATAAGTTAAAAAACAACAATGAACAACACAATTCCCAAAAGTCAAACACCTCTACCAGAGTTCAACAATTTCATGGCAGAGGGCACAAAGGAAAGGTGCGGATACATTAGTGAGGGATGTAAAAACCTCGCCTCTTCACCTGCTGGCTTCAGGCATCGATAATTGCGTCTAACTTGAAGATCTCAAAAGCAGTTTTATTTTTTCTTTTTGGCCCAGCTTGATTTGCAGAATACATGTCTGGGTGAGGGCAGATACACTTTTGTATCATATCATTGTCAAGATATGAAAATCGTATCAACAAATATACCAATGCACATACTCACAATAAACATGATTTTTACGATTGTCTTGAATGCACCACTATGCCCAGCCAACCACAAACCTTTCTTCTTATGCTTGCTGATGATAAACAGGTGTCGAGGTGTCTGACATGCTGTGTAAATTTGTCCATTTTGTTCAGCCCTGGCTGCTGGCATGAAATAAAAATCCGTATTATGGTTTGAATGTGTGCAAAAATGATCAGAACCTTTACCATTGAAGCAAACTGGATTCTCTATGCAGATAAAACTAAACCACCAAGCCCATTTTGCTCCGCACCCACAGTTTAGCACCTGGATTGATAAATGTACTCCTAAATTTGTAAGACGCTCAAAATCAATCTAGCAGGTGCATGTTTCCAAATGTCTCAAGTGGATGATTTAAGACTCACATTACCAAAACACCCTCTCTGACATCTAACCGATCACCGATGCTGCCTGTGCT